TATGTTTTAAGATAAAACATCATTTTTAATGTAATCAGTAACATTAAGCCCAACAGATGGCATTACCCTGTGGCATTACTGTAGTATTCTACATTACGATGTTGTATTACCGCAACTACTTGGATATAGATGACTGTGACTCTGCGGTGTGGATAGTTGTAAGTGATTTCTGTGTCGTTTTGTTTCTGCGTTGTCAATTGATTCTATTTGTCGATTTGGCTATTCTAACGGACTTGACTTGATATTTTGTGTGATTTTTTCTCAAATAACTTCTATATTTTCTATCTACTTAGCTGTTCTCTTACTTTACATATTTATATTAAGATCTGTATTTAGCTTTCTAAATCTACTTCTCAATTAACTCTTTGATTATTTCTTCGGTCTACCTCTGAATCTTGGAAGTCAAGAAAACCCAACGTGCAACATTAGCAAAAGCAGCGACCGCGGTTCCCTTTTGCAACATATTATATTTGCGGTTCCCTTTTGCAACATATCATATTATATTTATATTTGCAACATATTAATTTGGCACATGTAAATTAATCGTGTAGGACGAGTGCACAATGTCACACAAGCGCGCGGTTGAGGCTTTGAACCGGAGCCTGCTGGACATCCGCAGCAATGAGACGCTGATGGGAGGTGCTGTTGTTGTACTCACTGGTGATTTTCGGCAAACTCTTCCAGTTATCGAAAAGGGTACACCGGCAGATGAAATGAACGCGTGTCTCAAGGCTTCGTCACTTTGGTCCCACGTAGAAAAACTCCACCTTACTCGGAATATGCGTGCACAACTTTACAATGATACAGAGTCAGGTAATTTGCGAGTAAGCTGCTCGAGATCGGAGATAGTAGGCTGAAAACCGATCCGGACGGCAAAATCATTTTCACCAATGAATTTTGTCATCCAGTAGCTACCGAGGAAGAACTACTCGCCAATGTATTTCCCGATTTAAAAAACAAAATAAATAATGAGGAGTGGTTGTTTGAGAGAGCAGTACTGTCGCCAAAAAATGAATTAGTGAATAAAATAAACAACAAGGTATTAGATGTAGTAGATGGCGCATCGAGGGTGTACACGTCCATAGACACGGTGATGGCAAGCGATGACAGCACTGCGTATCCCGTGGAGTTTCTCAACTCATTAGAATTGACGGGCGTACCGCCCCACAAGCTGGAGCTGAAGGTTGGCGTCCCAGTTTTGTTGATGCGTAATCTTGACGCTCCGCGATTGTGCAACGGCACAAGATTACAAATCAGCGAACTGGGAAGAAACATTGTGCGAGCAACAATACTTACGGGAGCAGCTAAAGGCGAGAGCGTGTTGATTCCCCCCCCCCCCCCCCGCATACTCATTATACCCCACAATTTTCCATTCCAGTTCAAAAGGCTGCAGTTCCCATTGAAATTGGCATTTGCTATGACCATCAATAAGTCCCAGGGACAAACCCTAAAAGTGGCCGGCATGCATTTGGGCATTCCCTGCTTTACCCATGGCCAACTCTATGTGGCATGTTCTCGAGTGTCAAGTGCAAGGAACCTGTATGTACTTGCTGCAAATAATAGATCATACAACATCGTATATAGATCAATATTATAAGATAGTCATAATCGATGTTGTATGATTTATTATTATAAAAATCTGTTCAGTGGTTGCAGCGTGATTGACTGGCAAACATGAAATTGTTAATGAAAAAAAATAGAAGTTAGTTAGGTCACATTTACTTTACTCTGGATATACCTACAGAATTATTTAAATTATTTTTTATCTCACTAAACATTTCCTTAGGAACCACGCGGGCGAAGCCGCTGGCGAAAGCTAGTAAATTATAATTAGGGAGAAAATTTTTGATAAATAAATGCTTAGTGCGCAATTTTGCGTAATTTTAGCCGACTTCTGCCCACTCTCCTTTTGGAAAAGCAGTATGATAACTTTGTACAAAAACATGAAAAGTTGATCAGTGAGTACACTTCAGAAGAATAAGATGAAACGAGTTACATGAAAAGAGGATCATTTGAAGAAGTTTTCGACACATTTTTGAATTATAAAGTAGAGCTTCAAACTGCATTATCTAATATTGTTCCTGTGCAAAAATATATTACATGCAATGTTTCATCTGACATTCCTAAAACTGAATCAGTTTTAAAATTACCTAAAATTAAATTACCAACTTTTAGTGGAAGATATATAGAGTAGTCATCATTCAGAGATTTATTTATTTCATTAGTGCATGATAACAAATCTCTTGATGATGTACAAAAACTTCTCTACCTCAAAACTCAACTGTCAGGTGAGGCAGAGCAATTAATTGGACATTTACCTATCACTAAAAATAATTATGAAAAAGCTTGGATTATGTTAAAGGATAGGTATAATAATAAAAAGTTCATTCCTAATTGTTTTCTTAAACGTTTATTTAGTCAGCGTAATATTTTACAAGAATCGTCTAGCGCTCTTAAAGATCTTCTTGATACTACAACCTTTGCACGAGTTATCAAATCTGGGCATTGACATTAGCTCCTGGGATGTCATTGTAATATATATCATAAGTTCAAAATTGAACGTCGAGTCGCGGAAGCAATGGGAATTGCAGGTTAGTAATAATAATGATGATTTTCCTTCTCTTGAACAATTTATAGAAATTTTAAGCACTCGTTTGCGCGCTTTAGAATTTGTAGAGCCCAAGAACAAACCTCGAGTTGTGACAAATAATCTTACAAATACAAAAGTTTTGCATGCTACTACTACTATTATATATCCACATCGTTCAGATGAACATAAATTGTACAATTGCAAAAAAATCGCAAAGGAGGATGTTGATCAACGTCGTAGCACTGTCCATACTTTAGGGCTTTGTTTCAACTGCCTCGGGTACAATCATTCTAACAAAGATTGTCGCGTTTTCCCCAAATGCCGTATATGTAAACGAAAACATCACACCTTATTGCATCCCAAGAAACAGCAGCTACTACTTCTACCGATTCTGTCTCAGAGAACGAAACCGTTACAAATATAGCCACCCATTTTTCGAGAGGTACAGCTAGTCATCAAGTATTGTTAGCCACAGCCCTTATCAAGGCTGAGTCAAAAGATGGGTCGTCACAAGTATTAAGAACACTGCTTGATCAGGGCTCTCAAGCCTCTTTTATAACTGAGGCGGCAGTTCAACTGCTACGTTTAAAAAAAATTGCAACCACATGCAAAATATCTGGGCTTGGTGGGGGGCAAAGTGACCTTACCTCTAAATATATGGTAATGTTTTAAATTCAGTCACTTTACAACCCCTCGTTTATTATTCAAATTAAAGCATATGTACGTCGCTTATACCTGAAAGAAAATGCACATTATTAGATGGGCCTGAAATCTATAATGTCAATTTAGCTGATCCATACTTTATTACCCCTAACAAAATAAATATTTTGTTGGGAGCCGATACTTATTGTCGGATTTTGAAGGAAGGTTTAATGAAAGGTCCTCATGGTACTCCAATCGCTCAAAATACGTACTTCGGTTGGATTATTTCTGGAGAAGTGAATAACAATCTGCGAAATAACTGTCACAACATTATTGTAAGTATGCATGCAAAGGTTGATGAAAACGATCTAGCATTGACATTGAATTTTAAACGTCAAAATGTTGATAATTGTATTTACACGAAAAATTCAATAAATTCGGAGGAATTTGTCGCGATAGCTATATATGTTGACGATTTGGTAATTTTTAGTAAAAGAGAGCAAACAAAAAGTACTTTGTTAGAAGATCGAAAACTTTCTTTAAAATTAAGGACCTTGGACCGGCAAAACAGTGTCTAGTCTTGGACGTGAAGGGTCTACGATCACACTGGATCAGACCAAGTATATTGACGCAATTTTAAGTGAATTTGGCATGCAGGACTGTAAACCGGTGAGTACACCACTTGAGTTGGATGTTCACTCGACTCGACCGGATATAGCTGTAGCAGTGAGTACACTTAGCCAGTATAATGCTAAATATGGGTTGACACATGTAAAGGCGGTTAAACGGGTATTTCGTTATCTGAAGGGTAGTAGAGAAAAGAAACTCTATTTTAGAAAACATCCGAGTAATAAAATTAACAACATTACAGGGTACTCTGATGCAGATTGGGCCGGGGATGTCAAGGATAGGAAATCCTTTACGGGATACATATTTAAAGTTGGTGGAAATACAATATCTTGGGAGTGCAAAAAACAAAGATGTGTGGCGCTTTCATCAACGGAATCGGAGTACATTGCACTAAGCGAATCTGCGAAAGAAGCAGTTTACTTAAGAAAATTGGTGAGTAGCCTCATTACAAGTGATGACAGTCTATGTGTGAAGATTTACGTGGATAACCAAGGTGCGATTAAGTTGGCTTATAATCCAGTTCATCATAAGCGCACTAAGCACATAGAGCTGAGGATTCATTTTGTTAGAGACTGTGTCGCCAGTGGTTCCATATCACTGGAATATATCCCCACAGCAGACAACATAGCTGATGCTTTGTCTAAATCGCTACCGAAGGCTAAGTTAGGGAACTTTATTGACGGTTTACTTGCTATCGTATGACAGTAATAGGAATACCATTTTATTTTTCGTACGGAATCCTAAAAACTAGAAACTCTGGTTTGTATTCCCAGTGGATGCAAATACATAATATAGGTTATAACTCTTTACTGCGTATCACACATCATAAATAGAGAATAGAAAACAAAGCAATAAACATTAGTTATTATTGCACTTCAGGATCCAACAAAGAGGCCTGCGGAAGTAAGTTGATATTAGAGAAATTAATTAAGAACCGATAAATAAAGAATCAACGGTATTAATGAAATAAATTTTATTAATTAAAATAACATGCAATCTCAGATTATAACACTATCAGATACGTCACAGATTTATTATCTATAGACAATGGTTGAATTAGCCAAGACGATAAGAATTTTACACATTGTTGGAAATTCTGTAAAACGTAACACAGCAAGTTGCACAAATTATTGCAATAATGAAAATATTGGTGTTCGCTGTAGCCGCTCTAGTTGCGGCAACTGCGGCTCGTCCCGACGGAATATATCCAAGTAATGTAGTAACTGTACCACCTAATTGCCCACCAGGTCAAGAATGGATCAATGGAAAATGCCGCGAAATATGGATACTTGCGTAAGTACTTTTGAATTATTTGGCCACTGAAAAGATTTTTGAATATATAAATCTAGCAAAAGGATAGTGTGAATGCTTACCGATGAGTTCAGAACAGTGATTTCAATACCTCTGCTTTGTTCCCAAAATTTTATGACAAAACCCTTTAAAATTTGAATTAAAATTAAATTCTCGAGCAAAATTTTTTTAGCACAACGCAAAATTCCTCAATTATTGTTCCAAAGTAAAGTTTTTAAATTAAGAATATGTAAATATATTTTCATACTCAAGTACTCCTTATCTCTAATTCCCCCGCTGTGTCTGTTTGAACGCGATTAATTCAATACATAACTATCGAATATATTTCGCCAATCACTATATTTAGCCTGCCTGTTACGTGATATGTCTGCGTCGCTAATGAACATACAGGGATTTATGAGTAAAGTTTTGGTAGAAAATTAATTTTGTTTTTTATGAATATTGGCTAAAAAAACAACGATGATAATATTAAATATTTCATTTATGTCCACTGTGTGCTCATCAAGTAGGTATACCACTTACCGTACCGTACGTAGTTAAGGTTAAGGACCCTATTGGTAAGACTTCGCTGTCCATCTGTCTGTCATAAGACTGCCTCACATGGCAGACAACTGAAATTTTCACAGATGATGTATTTCTGTTACGGCTATAACAAAACTACTAAAAACATAATAAAAATAATATTTAAGAGGGTGGCCTCAAGACCTACTTGCATTGAAGTGTTGGAGTAAAGAAGGGGGGGCGAAGGGGGCGCTCCTGGGGAGCTCGAAATGGGCTGCAGCCATCTGCCAAAATTATAAAAATATAATAAAGTTAAAGATGTATGCGTTTAGTGTAAACGCAATATCAAGATTCCGCCCTGGTTGAACAAAATTGTCGATCGGGACCTCAGGACCTATTGCCGCCCCGGGCCTCCGATGAGGTTAGTCCGTCACTGTCGCATTGAACGGTTTTTTTAAAGGTATGGCATGTCCCGCCCTTAGATTATATAAAGTCGTCCGACTTTGCTATCAACACGGGTCAGAGTTTAGTGTATATTTAATTTTAATTGAATGGCGCCATTTGATTGCTCGGCTAAGCTTAATCAGCTGAGTAGGTGAACACGACGTTCTTCAATATACTGTAGGCCGAAATAGGACTTAATAATTTTATTTTCTTATGGTGGACTCATAGCAAAGCCGGTTATCGACGAGATCTACAAGATGAGGCGGAACTACTTTCTCCTGGAACTGCAGGATTCTCCCGGAAAAACGAATAAGATTTTAAAATCTATCGACTCAAGGAACGTTGCGAAAATCTCCCGGACTTATGACTGATGTTTGACTTATTTGTTTAAGTGTGATTGAAACGCACTGTGATTGAACACTGAAGCGTTATTAACGCACTCTGAAAGTCGAAATCGACTGAAAGAATTAAATACCTATCACATCTAAAATACTATTCTATTTCAGGGCACGAATTTCAGTTAGGCATAAAAGTAATACAAGTTTTTGTTTTGACTTTTTTATCTTTCTAATCAACTTTTGTTGGTAAATATCTGTGGAGACTAATCGCGACATAAGGTTCGTCTCACAAAAGAAGTCCCTCGGATCACAATGCCGCGGGACTTCTTTCGTGAGACAGACTTTAAGAGATACCTTATGTCTTATGCCATCATTTTATGAGACCCTCATAAAATGATTAAAATGAGACCCGCATAAAATGAGACCCTCACAAAATGATAGGTATACGTTTATTTTGAAATGACTCAATCCAAAAGTCACAGTCTTAGATTACCTATATATGAACGTATTAATCAATTTCCCAATAAAAAATACAAGAGAAAGGTGAATTAACCGGTCAGTTGTACAAACGTCTATAACAGTTTAATGACGCTTTTAAGATCGAATGAATGTCAAATTTGTATGGGTAATGTCGCTTTATACTAATAACAATAAAAATGGACGTTTGTGCAACTGGCTGTTAGTCAAGTTTATAGGTAACATTGTGAATTTAAATTCTATTTAAAATAAGATTTTATGGAACATTATAGACTTATGTTTGGTACATGATACTTTTTGATTTTCTTACTATCATTTGTATAGGTAAATAGATCAAGCAATATACTTAAATGATAAAAATAAATAAGATAAAGAGATAGCATACCACGATGAATCGATAACGATAAACACCACTTAAAATATGCTAGGTGTATAATTTTAACATTGATTTAAAGGATAAATATAAGAGACAAAGTAAAATGTGTTCGTACACTATATTAGCATTAATATTGGTTTTCGTTGTCGTTTTCAGTAACGCTCAATCGGATGATGAAAGTATATCTCCTCAAAATACGATAGTAGTACCACCAAACTGCGGGCCTGGTCAGAAACTCATAAATGGGGTTTGTAGAGATATCTGGAGATTAAAGGAAGCACAACAATTATCGGAAATCACAAACCCCGAGTAAGTTTTCCAGTTACATATGTTCAAAATGTTAATGTAAGCACAGATTAAAAATATAATAATTTTAATCGGTGAATCTTCTGATCAGTGCGATCTTGTTCTGTGGGTGTGACGCATCGGGCTTGATTTTTAGTATTTCAAAGTAAAAAAGGACAATCAGAATCCATCTCTTGTATCTCTATGTCCATACATCTGCCACTGACGTGTTTCTTCGAAATTTCTGGACCGATTGAATTGAAAATTTGGTACACTTACCTATGTAAGTAAGTCGGTGACCGAAAAACGACCGTGTAAGTTAAAATAACTACAAACCCGTCGATACCCGCTCAATATAGAACCTACTTCTTTTCGATTTGTCTAATGGCGGCCTCTTTTGAAGGAAAAATTCAACATTGTGTGACACAATTAATGAAAAAGCATGCTCTAAGAAACTCAAATAGAAAAAAAATGTTGTATGATTATGAAAAATTACGCCTACTTAGAATCTATTATAAAGTTTTCACCACTCGATATGTGTGCGAGTCGTGCGACAATCGTCTGGTATTAAACCAAATTTGGTATTAAAACTGGTCTCTCTTAAGCCTGCGCCGTAACGTAACGTATATATCCGTAACGTATACCGTACCGTACCATATTAGATGATTACAAATTTTTGCATTGTTATATTTCAGAGACGGTGGCTTTTATATAGCTGCCTCATTTTAAATAGGATCCATTGCTGTCTACATACCTGACATTTTGTTATAATATTTTAGGCAATCAAAACTCTGGTCCTCACTGTTCAACATGTTGAAATCCATGGAAGAAAGATTAAAGCGGCAAACCGAAGAAAATGAAAGCACTGTGGAAGAGTTCGGAGTTAAGAATATAATTACTGTACCTAATCAGTGCCCAGCTGGGTATAGGCCAGACGCACTTGGCTATTGTCGCGAAATCTTTGTCTAAAAATATAATTCCATAAATGTTTAACTTTAATGGCAAGCTTATTCCGATTATATTTAACTTGTTATAAATAAAATATATGTAACAAAACCGAAATAGTTGGTTATTCTATAAGGGAATAAAGACATTGATTACTTTGAGTTTTGACGGTTTTACACATTTAGGTACCCCAAAAATATAAAGTCTTTGTTAGGCTATTGATGAAAAAAATAAAAGAAACAAGTTATAATAAGATTAAGCTAAAAAATTGACATTGCAGTACATTTTACAATTGTTTGTTCTATTATAAGTTCAATTTTGTACGTCGTGATTTTACAATTTTTTATTTTTATTTTATTCCTTATAGTCACCACTAAATGCAAACAAAATATAGGTCTCATAGGCTCATCAACAACTTTAATTTGATACATTTGATGAGAAATATTATTTATTTCATGTTTTTTAACTTATACACACGCGTCATTTTGAATGTGTTTGAAATATATGTTATAGCCAGTGTTATCCGGGATGATGTAAGGTTTCTAATGACAGCTACCCTATACATTTATATCCGTTAAGTCATTCAAATATTATAACTGCATAAATAAACTTACAAAAGCACTTAAATTAATCCTAAACATACATACACTATATTCCTTTTTGGGTTGTTGTATGAATACAGGTAACGGCAAGGCAGGGGGTGCTAAGAATCTCCGGGCTACGGGAGGCCACCACAACCGACTGACCCTAGCGACGTACAACGGACGCACGCTACGGCTTAACTCGCATCTGGCTCAACTTGAGGTGGAGCTTGGAAAGATTAGGTGGCACATATTGGGATTGTGTGAAGTCCGAAGAGAGGGGGAGGATACCATAACCCTCGAATCAGGCCACCTAATGTACTTCTGCGAGGGAGACCAACAATCCCAAGGTGGCATTGGGTTTCTTGTCAATAAGTCCCTTTCTGACAACGTTGTAGAAATTTCCAGTGTGTCGAACAGGGTAGTGTACCTGATTGTAAAGCTCACTGAGAGGTATAGCCTCAAGGTTGTTCAAGTGTACGCACCGACCTCGACACACTCGGACGATGAAGTGGAAAATATGTACGATGATATATCGAGGGCACTCCACTTCACTACTAAGACCCACTACAGCGTTGTTATGGGGGACTTTATCGCTAAAGTGGGAGTACAAAATTGCGGCGAATCGGTAGTAGGATCCCATGGATTTGGAAGCAGGAATGATAGGGGGCAAATGCTCGTTAACTTCCTCGAACGGGAGGGTCCCTTATGAACTCGTTCTTTAGGAAACAGCCCCAAAGGAAGTGGACGTGGCAAAGCCCCGACAATGTGACAAAAAATGAGATCGACTTCATTATAGCGGACAAAAAATACGTATTCAGAGATGTCTCCGTGATCAATAGATTTAATACCGGCAGCGATCACCGACTTGTCCGAGGCTCTCTGAATATCGACTTCAAAGCTGAACGTGTCTGCTTGATGAAGGCCAGGCTCCGACCTACTCCACTCCAAACCATGATGGAATCTGAAACGTTCCAGTCAAATCTTGAGAACCGGTTCGCTGCCATGGAAACCACAATTGACGTTGACGAGCACCTTGAAAATGTGGATCGAATACTCAGGGAAGAAGGTACGAAATTTTGTAACATGCAGCGTAAGGGCGGGAAGTCTAAGCTCTTGGATAGAACTTTGGGGCTTATGAAGGAACGACGTGAAAACCCACCTGTCACTTCGTCAGGAAAACGTGCTCAAAACCAGGAGATCAGCAAACGCGTACGATATGACCTCCGGTGCTCCAACACTCACGCTATAGAAAGAGCGATCGAGCAAAACAGGGGGTCAAAAGTATTCGTACAATCTCTTGGAAGAAGCCACTTGATGAAGTTGACCACAGCAAGCGGGGAAGTCGTTGCTTCGAAGCCAGCGGTCCTCTCAGAGGTTATACGCTTCGCATGCACCTCGACCTGATCCCGGAAATGAGGATTCTAGAGCCACGTTAACACGCCACTACACCGAAGATCTGCCAGAAGTCAGCATTGGCGAAATCGAGATCGCTCTGAGATAGCTTAAAAATGGAAAAGCCCCTGGAGAGGAACTGAATTATTGAATTATTAAAAGAACAACTGAATTATTAAAAGCAGGAGGTAAACCAGTACTGAAGGAGCTCTAAAAGTAATATCTCTGCGATCTTGTCGGGACTGAAAATTTGATGGTACGCAACAATTTTGGACAATCAACTTGACAATTTATAATTTTAAATAGATATACAATGTCGGCTACTGTTCTACGGAGCACTAGTGGCAGTAAATGTTGCTCTTTACATACTCAGAGGTATTCAGATGAATCATATGGTCTATTCATCTTATAGCACAGAAACTTTATAAATTTCTTTTGAATGCCTTCAATTCTGTCAATATAAGTGGCATATCTAGGATTCCAAATTTGAGACGCATATTCCAGTTGGCTACGAACATCAGCACAGTATAATATTTTAAAAGTTTTAATTCGAGAAAAGTAAGCCGAATTTCGCATTATAAACCCAAATAACTTAGCGGCTTTAAGAATAATAGAGTGAATATGAGAATCAAATATAAGCTTGGAATCGTGTATAACACCGAAGTCCCTAATCTCACTCACTTTTTGGAGGTCTTGATTGTTTATAGTGTAAACGTGATTAATAACAATTGACTTTCGCGAAAATGTGACAGAAAAGTACTTAGAAGGGTTAAGGTCCAACTTATTTCTTACACAGTACTCACCTAGACTATCTAAATCAAACTGTAGTGCTACTGAGTCGGCAACAGATTTTATTTTAGCATATATCTTCATATCATCCGCAAAGCATAGAAGATTTGAATACTTGAAGCAACTTCCTATGTCATTGACAAATATATTGAAGAGAAGAGGACCCAGCAATGAGCCTTGGGCTACTCCACTAGGTATAATCACCCAACTAGATACGTGATTGCTTATGACTACTGCTTGAGACCTGTTATCTTTGTAGGATGAAAACCATCTCAACAAGTCACCCCTAACACCGATCCGAGCTAGTTTGGCCAGAAGTATGACGTGATCAATTCTATCGAATGCTTTTGAATAGTCAGTATAGATGACGTCTGCTTGAGATCCGTCATCCATAGATTTTAATATATATTCGTTAATTAATATAAGATTAGAAACTGTAGACTTATGACTCATAAACCCATGCTGGTAATTTGCTAGAGAATCTTTTATGGCGTTAAATAATTGAGAGTAAACAATTTTTTCTAATACCTTTGCCACCACACACAACTTAGGGATAGGCCTATAATTAATGACTTCAGTCCTAGCCCTCTTTTTTAAGACAGGTGTAACAAATGCCTGCTTCCATATATTAGGTACTTTGGATTCAGAAAGGGAACGCTGAAATAACAAAGAAATGGGCTTAGTAATGCTGGGCGCACAATTTACCAAGAATAGAGCTGGAAGATGATCTGATTTACTTATATCAAGATTAGAGAGTAATTTGAGTACCACGTCAGTATGAATCACAAGTCTGGAGATATCAGAAATGACATCAATACCCTCATCAGAGTCGAAACTTAATTAATAAAGAATAGAAAGTATAGCAGACTGATTAGTCTGATATAATATATAAAGCTTAATATATAATATAGATAAATCTATCGAAACAAATTTTAATGATGAAGAGGAAAGTGTAGCATACTGACTTTTTCATGTCATTACATTTTAATATCAATGATATGGTAACTTTAGGATATTCCAATTAATGGTGTTAAATAATGTTTTGATTGATAGAAATATGTTCCAAAGTTCAACTTCCTATCTTTCTTCATTTAGGAGTTATGATTTTTTTTAACAGTTTTATGACTTTGGTGTAAAACTAGATATTTTGAGATACGACAAAATCGCTTTCTTCCGTCGATATATACTATTGAGGTAATTTTACGTGAATTGGTCGTACTAATTAGATCTACATTAGACATCACCTACACCAGAGAAAACTGAAAACCAGAGAACACCAGAAAAATCTAAAAATATACTGTTTTATTTTACAAAGACACATGCGTCACATTTTTTAAATAGGGTTGATACGGAAACTTTTGTAACAGATTTAAAATTTTCTTTAAAAATTGGCCTGATAAAGCAGAATTCCTTCATTTTCCTGATAAGTTAAAAGGAACGGAAATGACTATCTTTGGTCCATTCGTTTCCTGCAAAAATCAACTTTTACTAGAATCGCCATCTAGTTAAGGGGCGTCATAGCAATCTCGCACAGGGCGCCGGAGTTGCTAAAACCGGTCCTGGTTTTATCCAAGAGTATTTTAAAGGAGAACTTTTTTTTGTATGGAGGCTGTTACTTTATTCAAATTAGCCCTGACCAAGCATAAAGTATATTTTAATCGATAGAGGGTAAATAAACCTTACTTATCATCATTTTTTTTTTGAGCGCCACCAAAATGTTTATTTTCTGATTTGAACATCATTTGGTGAATATTTTATCATTTATGTAGCAACACATAAGTGCATTAAGAAAATCTATGGCAACCCTATTCCTAAGTTGCGTTCCAATTCATGTTGTTAATCAATCTATTTGGACAATGTGGAATTATCATTTTTATTTGCTATTAATTATTGTTGTTTCAGACCTCTAAATCCCATATACAAAGATATTTTAAAAGAATCGAAGCTCGTCAACGCAGATTAGGCCTGGTTTGAGTCTATTCAGTGCATGGCTTATAATAATAAACACATAGTAAACAAATTATGAATATGATTGTCACAATATTGATATATGATTCGTCTACTAGGGACACTAAGTTATTATAAGGTGCTTTGGAGTAACACACAAAACAGGCAAATTGACGATGACTGAAAGTGGCGAATAAATTACAAATCAGGTATTGCCGGTAAAATTGGATATTAAACAGGCTTTTACTGGTTTTTTTTTATTACAACAAATATATTTATTTTTGTTTAATTTCATTATCGGAATTTCCCCACTTTCGTAATTACCCCAAAGTACCGAAAGCCAGGCTGTGGACAAAGATCCCTTTGCGTTTGTTTTAATTTTTTTTTTTGCACTAAATTTTTTTGTTTTAAATGAGTTTTATGGCTATACATACAAGTGTTTCTAGGAAAACCATACCATTTTTTTAACTTAATTCTCTAAAACGGGGTTACTTTCAGACCTAAAACTTTGGTGAAAGATAAAGAATTGAATCTAGATGCTATAAGAATTTTTTTTATAGTGGTTAGATTTTTTTAGAATAAAGTACCAAAAAGACATTCTCCTTTCTTGTGTACATTTTATTTTATTTCTGTTTGAATTAACCAACGAAAACAAATCATAAAAGTGTATATACTAGAGCCCTTTGCGTAAAATTAGCTGTCAATTTTTAAAAAACTTTACTACCACAGCACTACTAAGTCTGTGGCAGACAGACACAAAATTCTCATAAGAAAATGCCAACCAACCAACATAATCAGAGAATTGTTCAAAAAATAATTTTCATTAATAACTAACCAAAAGATTATACTTTTAATCCCATTAGTAAAATTATAAAACTTACATCTTTATATTAAATTATTTGTAAATATGTGTCTTTAATCCGAAAGTTATGTGACTCACCAGCAGCAAAATTATGACAGCAACTTTCGAGCTCTTTTGAATAGTTATATGAATTAAATATCTAATAAATATGTCTGAAAGAAGAGGCACTAAAGCTTTGGAATTATGGTGTAAAAGACTGGTAAAAGATTGCCCTGAAGTACAAATAGATAACATGACTACATCATGGCGAAACGGCATTGCTTTTTGTGCTCTGGTTCACCACTTTAGACCAGACTTAATGTAAGTTTTAAATTAAGTGAACAATAATAATAGTACTGTGATTAACAACTCAAATTCACTTATGTTACATTCCTGTTTTTAGTGACCTATCTAAATTAAAACCAGAAAACATTTATGAAAACAATCAACTGGCTTTTAGTATAGCAGAAAAACACTTAGGTATCCCAGCACTACTTGATCCTGAAGATATGGTAGAGAGTGAAGTCCCTGACAGATTATCTATATTGACTTATCTTTCACAATTTTATCAACGTCTAGGCCACACAGGTGAGTTTTATTTTTCTGACTGATCTAGCATCGTTTTAAATGTTGGTTAATGAAAATCTATCTTATTTTTAGTAAACACAAAGTCTTCAGAAGCTGAATCCAAGGCAACATCGACATCATCAACATCCACAGTAAGTATGATCAATAATTTGCACTCTATTCCTGAATGACTAGTTATATGTTTGCAATTCTACTTTTCACAGAATTTATTTCTTTCATGTCTTTCAACTTCATAATTTCACTTTCTAGACTCCCATCAAGTTTGGCAAGTCTGGACTTGATAAGTGTGCTGCATGTGGTCTGCCTGTGTACTTGGCACAACGTCTTATTGTATCTCACAAACTTTACCATAGAAGATGTTTCCGTTGCTCTAAGTGTTCTGGACACATGAATCCAAAGAATTTTGATATTATTGATGGATCTGAATTTACTTGTGATAGTTGTAAAAACGAAAAAAGTTTGCCTAAATATTTGAATAACAATGATAATGATCAAATGGGAATGTTAGCATTTAATGAAGATTCCCAAACAAAACGATCTGAAATTCTAAAAGGACAGTCCATTAGTTCTAAGCAGAAGGCGAGGCCATTGTCAATTATTGGTAAGTAATTTGAAATAGATGTGATTTGTTACCCAAGTAGGCTATCTATAATAAAAAGTTATTCCTGGTTTTATCTATACTCTGCTTCTTGTTTGTGAAAACTTTCTAAATGTAATCTTAATACATATTGTACTATATTTATGATAAAGTTCAATTTCGTTTTTAACTTTCTCATTTAAATATACAAAATACAGTATAAAGTAAGAACAGTATAACTGAAATAATGATAGTATCTTCAACCAGAAAACTTACAATTATTACACATTATTAATGTATTTTATCTTTTATCATTGGAAAGGTATTAATTATTGCTAGTTACTCTTTTTGTTTGTTAGTTAAATCACTAATGTTATTTCATTTTAAATTCTATTTTTTATTTAAAGTTACAACTTGTTGATATTAACAATTCTAATGAAATTTTTCTATTTTCAGAAAAAATAAATCTATTTGAAAAGAATTCAGACAAAGAAAAAGACACTGTTACTGATAAAATTAGTAATTTATCTTTAAAAGATAATGTAGATAATAGTATTATTAATGTAAGTGCACCAAGTATAGATAGCCCTACAAAAGACATTAACATTCAATCTAACATCACTTCTAACACAGATACTGATACTACTGAAGCTATTAAAGATAAGACAATTAGTGTAAATTATGAAAATATGTTACATCATGATTTACCCCCAAAAGTATATAAAAGTAACATAAATAAATTTAACTTTTTACAAACACAATTATCTGACACTGTATGTAATGATATACCAATAGATGATATGAAACCTGCTGAACCTGTAATTATGCACAATACTGAAGACTGTTCTAGTGATACAACATTAGATGTAGAAAATGAAACAAAATGTGTTAGTAGCTCTGACAAAAATGATGATATAAAAAGTGAACATGATGTAAAAGAAGAAAGTAATGTAACTGACGAATCTAGACTAGCGAAAGTACAACAAATGTCATTAGTTGAAGATAAAAATGTATCAGATATGAATTTAGTGACTGAATCTATAAAAAATGAATCAGATATCAATTTAATGATTGAATCTAAAAAAAATGAATCAGCAATGAAAAATGGGCAAGAAGTAAATATAAGTGTACCTCCTAGAAGAAAGAAACAAGCAAATAAATCTGTACCTCCAATAACAAAAGATGAAAAAATTAAAGTTCAATATCCAGACCATTTAAATCCTTTTTCTGATGATGAAGAGGTATGTTATTTGAGTAGTGTAGTAGCTTTTTATTTATTACTTGAAATTTTATTGTCTACTAATACTAAAGTGTGGTACTTTAGGAATCAGCTCCTCCACTAACTTCGAAAAAAGTTAGCACTAACCCTTTTGGAAGCAGCGATGAAGAAAATGATGATGTTCCACCTATACAAACTCTTCCTAAATTACCAAGTAACCAACAAGGAATGCCCATGTAAGACTAAAACTGAATACATTTTTCCCAATTCTTAATGTAATATTTAAAATATGTTCTTTGTTGAAGTCATACTATATTATTATATAAGTGATTGTTGTTGTTTTGAACAGAAAACGGCTTATAACAGCTTATAATCCATTCTGGTCTGACGGTGAAGAACCATCATCAGAAGATGATGACACACATGACAGGTAATAAAAAGTTGGATGTCTATTTGTTATAATCCGTCAAAAGTAAATGTTTGCTAGATATTATTATCTTTGCAATGTTTTGCGAAATATATCAATCATAACATAGACATTTTAACATGATTAATGTATCACCAACATTTTATAGACATATTTATGTCATTTTGATTGAATATGCTAGTAAAGAAAGATAAAAATATGGTACCTGGAATTGACCTATAAAATATGAAGTAGATGAGTAATCAAAGCGAATAATTTTGTTTCTATTCTTATTGGTAAGGGTTTTTGTAAACCTAATTTATGTTAGTCCCATTGTGATTACAATAGTCAGATTACTTATTATCTCCCAGATTTTCAGAAAATTCGTAGGTCAATAAGGCTTCTTTTGATGCTGGATTAGAAAGTATGGCCTAGAGTAATCTGATATGTAATAATTTATATACAAATATGACTCAGAAGTAAGGTAAAAGTATGCATCTCTTAAAAAATAAGGATAAATATTGTTATGTGCCGCACTACTTTATATAATAAAACTATATATGAGCATACAGTTTCATTTTTGGTGTAGATAAAAGATAAAAAGAAGAACGAGTTATTTTTGTAATAAAATTAGTAATAATTGTAGTTTTTATAATTACTAGTTCTAGGAACTACAGATCTTATTTTTCATTGTTTTTTCATCTGTAAGATAGCTTTTTAAGAAGGAGAGAGGTATATAAAATATTTTAAAGGGTCCATAAGATTACAATTAAATATTTCTTTAAACTCAAAGGACATACAAGTCTTCTTTGGCGGCTAGCACGCCTAATCTTCAATCGAGTACGCCGCGCCGTAAGAAAGCACATGCACCGCCACCGCCGCCTGTCATCACGGTCTCTCCCACTCATATAGAACACCCCTCCACCTCTTTGGACGACGTTGCTAGTATCTCTTCGCATAGCTCCTACAACTCTACTATACATTCGGATCAAGTAAGTTCTATATTACACTAAAGCGTGCCAGGCACGAAAGTAAACCCAAAACGGTATCCACAGGTATATCCGCTTGCTTGCCCCGTTTTAACTAGTGTTTAACAAAACTCAAACGCTAACATGTAAATGGGCAAGCAAGCGGATAATCAGGGTAAATTTTAAAAACTTCAAACACTTACTCTTTATTGAATATTATGAAACCAAATAAAAAATCTTTATTTTTATATCAAGGGCATACTACCCACTTAGAACATCGTTTACTGATTAGACACTAGTTGCTATGGTTAAGTTTCTCCCCCGCATACTTCACCTCCTACGATACCTATTTTCGTTTTCTTTAGTGCCGGGCACTGTACTTAAGATTTATACATGTCGCAGAATTATAATAAATAATGATTTTGATCGAAAGCCTAGTTTTTTAGACCTAGCCGCAGAACTGTAACATGATAAAATTATTAGCAAACTGAGATAATTCAGATTTTTGTTCATAAACTGCACTATACCTAAAGGTGCCGTGTGTGTGCCGGCTTAGAATAGCACCACTCCCTCTCATTCCGTGGGTGTCGGTGAAGCCACTAAGGGAACGAAGCAGGAGACGGGTAGCAGTGTCCCTTCAGACCTTTGGCTCATTGCGATTGCCAACCCTCCATCAATTAATAAAAACCTAAAAACGAAACGGCCCCTAGTCCCCGGCAGCTCTACTACCCCTTGTTACGGTAGGTGCGAAAAATCCGCGGGTACATTATAGTTTATCATACCCAATTAAGGGTCGGTGCATATCTGACGGAAGATGGGTCGCGTACCATCGGTCGCTGGAGGTCAGAACTGCCAGATACCTATGATATACAACAATGCACACTCGACAGGTAATCCGTCGTGTACTACTAACTAATAATACTAACATATTCCGTTAGACACTTGGGGTTTTTTTCCATGTTAATTTTTATAGGGTTTTTATAAAAATGATTTTTACGCTTGGCGGTTTAAACGAAACTGCCAAATTGGTAAATATTTTAAAACTCAATCCGCACAAGGCCTAGACGCTTGGTTAGGTTAGGTTAGAATTGTGTTCAGAAATTTCCTAAAGATTTTCTGCCAGATTAACATCGATCTTGACTGTATTATTAACAACGGTTGCTATAAAACTCCGCCCTCCGCCATAAAAAATAAGTGATTATATTTTCTTTTCAATAGTTTGTATAACAGTTGTCTGTATGTTGTAAAGAAGTCATGTGGAGTATCTACACCAAGATTGAAGAAGAAGCGATTGGCACCGACAACTCCCGACAGTCTATCCACGATATCGGGTTGCGGTTCTCTAGACAAGGGCATGGATTCTTCGGGCCTGCGCTCCAATATCTCTGACTGTAAGTTTCTATCAATTATTTTGTAATATATCACTTCATTAACAATTAATTTTTATGATTAATAACTCCCCATTCAGAGTTCCTTATAAATTCCTTTCAAAGGTGAAATTATTTCAACTTTTTAGTTATAAGTTTATGGATACGATATTACAACTATCGCAAAATATCAAATTTTCACTATGGATTTTGAAGTCTGTATCCAAAGTATTAAGGTTTCAGTCATTTAGGGAAATTTAATAGTTTATATAACTGGTGTGTTGTTAACTGGACAAATATTGCTGCTGAAAATCAACATTTTCAATACTGTCGTTCTGATTCTGCCCTACTATGAAATAGTTTTGTTGTACACTAGCTTTCCGCCAGCGGCTTCGCCCGCGTGGACTTATATAATAGGGAATATGCGTCTGATTCAAAAAAGGGTTAAATATATTTTATTAAGATCGTTATTGCTTAAGAATAAAGTCTATGTAAATATTTTTCAAAGTTAGTTCGTTTTGTCTTGAAAATAATTATTAAAAAGTGATAAATAAATGTGTACACCTATAGGGATGTCGTTGTTATAAAAAGTTAACATCGATGCAATAACATCAATGTATTATGTCGCAAAATAAACAACTGATTACAATTTAAATTATGTTTTAGGCTTTTATTTTTATAACACCAATTTGGTAAATTATATGATTTATTCAAAAACTATTATACTTAAAAAATCGATCAGTTGTTAATCGATTTGGGTAATTGGATAATATTCAATCACTCAAAATCCATATTGATTTAAAATGTCATATCTCTAGTCGTGTACTTTGACGTCACGACGAGCGCGCCAAAAAATCCCGTGTTCAAACTGCTCGAACCTATTACTTATTTTCATCAATTATTAAATCTTACAAAATTTTAGTATTTCGGTGCCGAGTATTTTTTTACAGTCATATATCGATGTAAATAATCACATAAAAGCATTTTCCAAAAATGTGCATATTCCCTATTGTCTACAAGTCCCTTACTTACATATGTACACAAAATTCTCATTCTGTCAATCTTTTAGTTTTGAGGAAAAAGATAAATGATTTTATGGTTTAATTAGACAGGGAACCCTAAAAAAGACATAGGTAACTTTTTCTATGTTTATTATTTTTATTTTATCTTATCTTTTTCATATCTTTGACATGAGATTAGTTCTCACAAGTCTTATATCCATCAATATTTAATATAGATATATCAGTATGTGAAGACTTATTATAATTCATATCAAAATATAAGATTCTATAGCTAAGTGATGAAAAATTCGTCATTCATCTTTATAGGCAGTACATAAAGCATTCCCCTACGACAAAAAAACGTCTTTAGATGGGTCTTTGAAAATGAAATTAAGGTTTCTTAAACAATTGGTAAAATTTTGATGTACTCTTTATCTATTGTGGACCTATTAGACGCTGTTTATTATTTCACAGCAAGTAGAAAAACAAAAGGTCCAGCTCCCGGACTACCACTGCCCGAGAGACGTGAGGTGAAACTTCAAATGTCACCTGAAGAACTACAGATACAATTGGACTTACTAGAGACACAGCAGCTCGGCCTCGAGCGACAGGGCGTACTCATCGAACAGATGATACGGGACAAGTGTGAGGGTAAATTCAATTTCTGCACATATTTATACTATACGCGCTTGGCACCACCTGTCATCAGGCCCGGATCAAGGATTTTCTATAATCGGGTCAAACTTTGTATGGCACCCTTCCTCTCCCTCTTCCTCCCTCTCCCTCTTCCTCCCTCTCCCTCTCCCTCTTCCTCCCTCTCCCTCTTCCTCCCACTCTCATCCTCTCGCTCTCCCTCCCTCGCTCCCTCTCTCTCCCTTTCTTCCTCCCCTCTACGCTTCATCAAGCCGGATTTTATATTGGGATCTTGAAGCATGCCCGTCCCATTGTCCCAGCCTATAATTTGTTTGAAGAGATTTGTAAAGCTCCTTCTTTTTTTTAACTACATAATGATGATTTTGTAGCCCCCTATCACAGGCACCCAAAGCCAGTGCCCCCCTTCTACCCGATCCCAGATCCGGGCCTGCCTATCATAATTAAGAAGGTATAATAACAAAGAATAATTTCACATTCTGCACGTTTCATTTACCAAGCTCGACACCTATTTTCTACTTGTATGATTACTATTCTGTAATAAGTCCGGTCCCTCTGGTAGAATCTCGGTGCTCCGAAACTTATTTCACAATGCAGACATGGCATAATCTTGTTTTGAGGAAAAGGCATAAAAATTTGGTGTCAAATTTTTAGTGTTTGTATGTTGATAACGCATAATAAAAAATGAAATCATCAAAAGCAAGTCTATCGAGCGCCATATGCAACTACCTACATCGTATCTTTAATAATATATATGTATATAATAAAAGACCATTCTGAGTCTGACTATGAACTTTCTGCGAAATGATGATTCTGCATTATAGTCATTATGCATCGAAAATTTATTGATTAAGATGATTTTGACTTTCAAAATTTGTTTTTATACGAGTATACCAAACAACTTTCTCCGAAATGGAGTTTACGATGCCATTCACTGTCTGCGTGATAACATAAAACACAAAAAGTTCTGCCAGAAAGGTCTACTCAAACCTTTTTTTGTTAGATAAAGAATATCTATGTTTCTCTCGACACACGGTCTTCTGTAATTTTTTGGAAAAATGGTTTCTTTTTTTTATATTTGAGTCACGTGTTCTCAGGCGATGAACCGTCTACAGTGCCACAAGAGGAAGTCGAAGATTTAGTAATACAGCTATGTGAGCTAGTCAATGAGAAAAATGACCTGTTCAGAAAACAAACGGAATTAATGTATATGTAAGTACATTAAAACACATCGTTTCATGATTCGTCGATGTCCCGCTCCTAAACGTGTGACGTAATTAATTATTTATGTATGACCCTAAGAAAATGTAAAGCCTTGTTACGGGTGTAAAGACTTCCAAAATATAATTGACAGCGTGTAGGTTACTAAGAAAACGGCAGAAAATTTCCCCAATCCATTATAATTAATCTATTGACTTTATATATGATTATGTGCCAATATCAACCTATTAATTTCCCCAATGCTCGGGCACCGGCCTTCCCTGTTTATGGAATATAATAGAGATTATGGCCCACCAAGCAGGCCTATAGCGGATTTATGGGTGTTAACGTCTACAGATGTAGCCGGGACCAACGTCTTAACGCACGGAGAAACTCATGAGGCGTTCATTGTGCATAAAATGACAGATAGGATGGAATAAAGTCACGAGATATTATATACGTTATAGGTGTAATACTATTATGTGACAGGACTTCGTGGGTTGGATATCTTTTAAGAAAATGTAATCAGATGTTTCCTACTGGTGCCGATTGTAGGTATTACAATTTTGTATGAAACAGCTTATTATTTTTTTGTGAATTCAGTGTTACTCCCATTGTAAAAGTTTTTCGGTATATTTAACTTATCCAACCCACGAAATCCTGGCATATAATAATATTACACCTTATATATACATTAAATATAAATAATAATTTATATTTCCTTCAGAGATTTAAGTGTTTCCTATTTTAAGTGCCATTTTTCACTTTATAGACACAAAGGAAAATGATACGTAAGATCCATCCAAATGGTTCCATCACAAACTCGAGAACAGATAATTAAACAGAAACTAAACGCCATATTTATTCCAATATCCATACAAACTAAGCCAGTTGTAATTAAGTCAAAATTAATTAATTGTAATCCTATAAACTATTTACAGTCGTCGACAGCAGAGATTAGAACAAGAACAAGCTGACATTGAGCATGAGATCAGAGTAATACAATCGAGACCGGCGGTCAATCGTATCGATGCTGATAAGGTAAAGAAAACAAATCAAAATAGACAATATCACATAAATACCACAGATTCCAAGTTAAATGGCTAAAGTTACAGAGTAAAAACAAACGAAGGTAAACACCCAAACCCGACACAATAAAAGTTAAACTGTCATTGGGAAGCAAAGGAATCGATACGCATACAGCCAAAATGTCAACATTACTAGGTTTTTTATTTACAGACGACAGAAATCACGTGACCCATAATAATTATTGTCGGATGTGATATTTCAAAACTAATCTCGTTTTTTTATGAATATTACCAGTTATGTTTTAGGTTTCGTATAGAATAACTAAGCATAGTATAAAATAAATTTATGTTTTATACATTACCAAAGTACTGTATAGAATATCGTATTATACAGACCATTATATTATTATATTTCATCAATTTCGCATACACAATGCTATACTGAACAATATTTTTAATTAAAAATGTTTAAAAATCCACTGTCCTGAGTAACTAAGTGGTTACAACAGTCGCTCATTTCGAACAGTCATGGGTTGGACTCCCATCTCAGGGTACCAGGGACAAAGTATATATTTTAAGCGTTTCTCGTTCAGAATTGATGTTGCATTACCATAAAGCTTATTATTACATCAACTACGGACGACAATGATTTATAGAAAGATGTCGGCAGTAGATGTTTCGATTCCTTCAAATTATATCAACGGCTAAATAAATATGTTTTATTAACAAAAACACATACACCCTTTGTCGAATTTATTTTGATTGGTTCGTTTTCTACGAACAGGCACGGGAAGAACAGCTCGTGTCCCGTTTAGTGGAGATTGTGCGCATGCGCGATGAATTAGTACAGCAAATAGACTCGGAACGTCGCCGCGAGAGACAAGAGGACCTCGCAATAGCGACCTCGATCGCTACTAAAAGAGGTCAGTTCTGTTATAACACTAGATCGTAATTGTTAAGCAACTTTCGCAAGGGTCGATCATGGGATGGGTGACCAAAAAAATTATTACTCTTTGCTTCGGAAGGCACGTTAAGCCATTGGTCCCGGCTGCGTCTGCAGTCGTTAATAACCTCCAATCAATGTTGGGCCCTCGTGGAGGGTCATGGCCTATCCTCCTTAACCATCCATAAGGAAGGCCGTAACAGGGCTGATGAGAGAGAGAGAGCTTTCCGCCAGCGGCTGATGATGTAACTTACCGTAGGTGAAAGAATTTATAAAATCGCTCCAGTTGTTTCGGAGACTATTCGATGCAAACAAACAAACAATCAAATCTTTCCTCATGATAATATTACTAGTTGCCGCCCGCGACTTCTTCCGCGTGGAAGTCTTCCCCTGGGAATGAAAAGTTTTCCCGCGGTAAAAAGTACCCTCAGTGTTATTTTGATGTATGACCTGTATTGTAAAGTTTCATCCGAATCCGTCCAGCAGCTTTTTTTTTATGAAAGAGAAACAAATATCCTCACGAACTTTCGCATTTATAATATTAGTAAGATAAACTAGAAAGACGGGATCAGTCATATTACTGTATTTTTAATTTAAAAGATGTATAAAATTTGTATGAGAATATTATGGCATTTATTAAGATACTTATGCCATTTTTAATGTAATAATTATCTGCATGCAGTAATTTTACTGACCCTTGTCTTTTTGGGTAGGCAATTCTATCATCAAAAGATAAAGGAGACTGTAATTTAATATAGATTTCCTGTCTATCGTTTGCAATAGTGGATTATTATTGGAGCCCGTTATGGGAAGTGTAATTTAGTAACTGGACATTTAAGAGATGGATAAAAATGAAATACATAAATAAAAAAGCAATAAACATTCTACTTATGTATCTCTGTTCAGTATCTGGTGTATAATTCTACCTTATAATCAGTATGAGAGCATTTCCACATGCAATATTATTAATTATGCTTATAGTGTCTTAAATTACTGTATAATAATAATAAATTCAATAAAAATTCAATAATAAATAAAAAAGGTAGTGTTCATAATCTTAACACAAGAAATAAAAATAAACTTGCCGTTCCAAGCTTCAGACTTCAAAAAACCAGAGGATAAATATTGCAATGGGTAAATGTTCAATAAAGTTCCACAAAATGTAATTGACCTACCCATAAATAAATTTCAAATTCATGTATAGAATATACTTATGAGTAAAGGCTATTATAAAGTTGATGATTATTTTAAGGACCGCAATGCATGGAATTAATAGCCTACGCTTTGTTCTATAAAGACTACTTATATGTTCAACCTATGTCCTACAGACTTTGAAAGTTATATTTATTATTGTTCAATATATGTATTATTTTGGTAATGACATGATTTATGTAAATGTTATTACTTATGATAAAAAGCTGGTAAAATTCTTTCGCTTCTTCTTGTCAACTAAAAGACGTCCTGAACAAGTGGTAGGGGAAAAAATATTTTTGGACTATTCAAAAGTGCTTGTAACAAGCTTACTTGAATAAAACATTTTCATTTCATTTCAAACATTATCTATTTTCAGCGCAAAGAAATAGCGAATCGAACAGCTCGTCTATGAAATCTGTCGAAATTGTGGCGACACCGAAAAAAAGCAAAGTAAAAGATAAAGTCAAGAAGCAGTTCAAGAAGGCTAAACATACTCTTATGCCTAAGAAAAAAGAAGACGGTACTGACCGAAAAGAGGAGAAATCCGAAAAAGGGAATAAATCATAATAGATAATTAACTTAAGCACTATAGAGGTATCATTTTGGATAGCCAAACAAATTTTTTGTATATTATGTAATGATTATTGTTATTATTTAACATTAAGCAACTAAGTTGACATGAAAGTATTTAATTAAGACTGGAACATTCCAATAGATTCTCAAAATAATACTGTATTGTTGTAATAAAATGCGTATTTGGGTGTTTATTTTTTTTAGATTGAACATACAAAAATATGTCGTGTATTTATACTGCTAAAATACACTTTTGCTTGCGTCAAAGAAATATTATGAATGGCCTACACGATTCATTTGGTAGACTTCTTCGGTGACTTTAGATGCAAAGGTTTGTTACCTATACTACCATTAATTATTTAATTACTCTGTTCACTACTTGATTTGAAATTTAAATATCAAAAAACCTGATTTTATCATAAACAACCACTATAAAAAGCCAGCCAATAACAATTGAACCAAATATTTCATTTTTTCCCTTCAAGTACATTTTAATTTATAAGGTCTTTATAGCTATAATATAATCGTTTTTCCTTTAAAATCGTGATATATATATGTTGCAGCCAACTGGTTGAAATAACGGTTTTGTTTATGGCTCTTTTTAGTCGAATAATGTGACATTATATACGTTCAACATAACAGCTAACTGATAACCCGCTGCTCTCCACCTCTGAGGTGTTAACATTTAGAAGAGAAGTAATTACTTGAGTATAAATTACTTATGTAAATATTTTTAACCAATTAACGAGGTTTTGAATTAAATAATCACTAACAATAGCTAATAATAATCTTATACATGTTTACTTCATCAGAAATCTATTGTATTTTTGAAAATATTTGCTTAAGATATTTACTCGATTAATAGGGACCATGACCGCGTAAAAAATTTAGTTCGTCAGTCGGATATTGGATGTTTTTTTTTTTGTTTAAATTTTTAACAAAAAATTTAAAACAAAGACGTTATTTAAATAATAGACAGTAATTATAAAGAGCGGGAGCACGCTACGTTGTGACGTATCACAACTATGTAGAAAATGTATAAAGGCGTGACGTCATGCGACTTTTCAAATCGATGTAATTCATTGGATTTATCAGAAACTAAACAAAATACGTGTTTATTATTCTTCAATACCTGTAGATAAATCTACGACAAAATTTGTCATCCCTATTATTTCTACTCTACTATAGATACGGGTAATACACCCGGATTCTAAATTGAGAATTTAAAGTTAAACATGTCTCAAACCGTACTTGAACCATCTCAAACGTCACTTTAACAGGTTTTCGTTACTGATTTCAATTTGTTTAATGAAACTAGGATAATTTATATGTAAAACCAAAAAAAATACGTTATTGAGCCGGAAGTGTTAATTAGGTATATCTATTAACACTGAGTTATCATTGATCTGGCTAGTCGATATTATGATATGATAAGAGGGCACTGTTTTAAAACATACTGAATGTACATCTTGAATGATCTATTTAAAGGGACGGCCACGATATTTGTATGTTAAAGACGAGTATGGTTAATATACACGATAGTTTATTTTACCAACGGCTGTAGCAAACAATTTTTCAATACTTAAAATACCTCTTTCTTTTGAGTAAGATCTTAAAATATTGAATATTAAGCTTGAAAAGCCATTTTTATTGCATACTCTAGGTTTAGAACCATCGTCATTGAAATTATATATGTGCCAGAATTAGAAATGTATAAGGTGTTATAACTAAAATTCTGTTAAATTTTTGTCATGCTTTGTGCCACGAAAAAATTTAGAATCTCTTTTTTTCATTGAAGCCATTTATTTAATGTACAGTAGCCCAAAAAACTGGATTAACTTTTAATATAGATGCAGCACTCGTTCAGAACAATTTATTTTATTATATTACCTTAATTTACTTTTATGACAAAGAAAATAAGAAATAAATACAAAATTATAAAATAAAATATATTAAATTTATTTGATAATAAAGTATTATTAATGGAAAATGCTCTAAATATCCTTTATTTTCAAAATAATCCATTTGGGCCACTGTATGTGTAAGATTTATTTTCAGATATTATTTAAAGTTGCTTATTTGGTAAATACTTATGTTTATCGTAGATTTAATTCGAAATAGTTTTGTTTTTGTTTGTTTTTTATTCGATGCTTATACTGGACATATAAAATGGATAATTATACATAATTGAAATATTGTAAATCCAAAATTTAACGAAAATTAATTATATTATATTAAGTTTTCAATGTCTGGTATGAGCGCATTAACTGAGATTAATAATATATAATTATGTGTTTACGTTAAAATGTCACCACGCCATTTTATAACCGTTTTTACACAAATGCACATTAAACATGAAACTTTCTTGAATAGAAAATAAACTAGAAAATTATTTAAGCTGCATATTGTTATTTTGAAGTCGCACAGAGCCGATCGGAGTCTCGGTATATGTAATTCACTAAGCTTTGCTGTTACGTAATATTATAATAAAAACTATATATATATATATATATATATATATATATATATATATATTCATAAAGTATACTCCCGTCAGGTATGTACAGTCTGCAGCACGTCAGGTTATACAAAGCTGTACAAATATATCCTTAAAACATTCAGGGTAGAGTTTAAAATGAACTGCGGAAATTTGACATATCGTGTTAACCCGCTGACCTGTCCATATTGTTGTTCCATAACTGAATAACCTGTGGCCATGATGAAACAAAAATATCTTCATCTGTGACTTGCTCTTCAATTGGATATGTCACACACTATGCACGCCCCATTTGTAAATCTCCCGTTTAAATTCACATTATCAAATAAAGTAGAATAGTGGGTGGTCGTTAAGGCACTATCTATACTTTTTTACCTTGCCCCCTTCTATGTAAGATAAAGTAAGAATCGACCGATCCCCTTCTTTTGTTGTATATTTTTTTACGTAAGAATCTTAACGACCAAAAAATTGTATGTCATTTTTTCTTTACATTATAATTTTAACTTTGCGGCTTTTCGTAATCTTACGTAAATAAAATCAACTTTACCTACTAGTAAAAGCATAGGCATGATACTATCCCCCGCACCTATATATGCTAAGCGACACGCTTGCGAAAAAACGGATGGCTACTAAGCAACACGCTACATTCGCTCGATCGGACCTTTTAGGCAAACGGCCTTACCAATAAGCAATGTCTAGAGTCTGGCAAGCGAAACGTGTCACAAGAAAAGGGCGGCAATTTCAAAAATTCTTAAGCAGTAAACACTGAATGTAGTACTGCAAAATAATTTTGATACTTTTATTAATTATATTTAATCTTAACATTTAGATATCAATTAAAATTATTTGTTTTGGAACATTTGACTAAAGCGTGACTGTTCTTAATTGTACAGTTAACAGCATATCAGTAGGCCTATTCACTAACTCAACTGACAACCAAGAATCGTCATCACCGTAAAAAATAGACACTTTGATTGTGTCAAAATCACTATTTCGTATTCTCTATCAATGATGAGCAATTTCGAAATGTCAATATCGGCATTCTCCACTGGACTCCATTTTGACACTTGATTTCGTATCGATAAACTGTATTAAAGTAACATTGTTGCAAAGCATATTTGAAGTCGTCGCATAGTACCTCTTAAGCCATTTGTTGTTAAATTAAAGCGAAAAAAAATACGTATCCAATATTTTTCTATTATCTGACTGACGGACTAAATCGAATCTTTTTTTTAACCCATTCGTTATACCTATTGGCTAACAGCACTTATAATATTAAAAATTCATATTTGTCATTAATTAAAAGGGTGTTTTTTGCAACGACTTCTTTGTTTTTTTGTAATGAATATGGGCGACTCTGGCCACATTTTTTTAATAAATGTGATGTTAGCCAATTTTGATTTCTGGCCCTTATATTTATAATGTGTTCATAACACATACATGTCTCCTAAGGGATTTTCATCACAACCTTTTGCTCTGATCCAGAACCACTATCTATCAAATTAAACTAGTCAATATAAACACCAGATTACAATAAAAAAAACATTTATTTTTGTTACAATTAAGTGCCATGGATAAATTACATAATACAGGTGTCACAAAATCATCATGTTAATCACAATAGAAAATTTAAGATAAGATTTTGACTATGAATCAGACTAAAAATACTTTAGTCTGATTCATAGTCAAAATCTGTTTCTAAATATTCTACACCTGATAACAATGACAAGGAATCATCAGAGTCACTCTCTTCACTACTGTCTGCACCAACAGATATAATAAATTTTTCAAGTTCGTTTTCAACAATGCCATCTTTTAATTTGTAATCATTTTCGACATTTAAAACATGATCAGTGTATTTCTTCCAGTCACTAGGGGTAATTAAGTTAAAACACTCTATTATTAAGTTTTCCATTTCCTTTCCTGGTATTCCAATGTTTCTGCTTGCAATTTTTCTTTTTGCTTGACTCCAAACCATCTCTATTGGGTTTAAGTCACAATGATACGGTGGCAGCAATAAAAGTTCATGATTATGTTCTTTTAAAATCTCTTCAGCTTCATATACAGGCAATGTTTTCTTATCATTAACCAAACACATTAACTCTGCCTTTGTCTGATATTCCTCAAAATGTATTCCATTATTTACAAGCCATTTACGGATATCTGCTTTGGTATTAGACATTATAGGCGGTTTATTGATTTGTTTTATATGGTAGCTGGCATTATCCATAACAATTACACTGGGCTTACTTAAATTTGGTATTAATTTTTCTCTGACCCATTTCATAAAGTTCAATGAGTTCATATCATCATGATAATCAGCAGATTTGAATTTACTACTGAACACTAATAATGCACCAGGCACAAAACCTTCCTCAGATCCAGCATGCACAACAATATGCCGTTTTCCAGAGGATATCTTTGTAGTGACACCAGTTGTTGAAGGTCCTTGCCAAGACTTTTTAACTTTATAATTCTGATGTACATAAGTTTCATCAAGGTACACAATTTGCTTTCCTTCGTTTCGTTTTATATTTATTTCTCTCAAATACTTGTGCCTCCATGCAGAAATCTGGTATTTTTCTATAAGCATAGAACGTTCATTTTCATTGCTTTTAAAAGAAAATCCATTCTTAAGCATAATTTTTCGTAAAGTCTCACGGCTACCACTGAATCCTATTGCATCTTTTAATTCATTGTGAAGGCTTCTTAATGTTGGAACAATTTTTTTCACACAGTAAAATTCATTTACTTTATTCCAAATTGCACTTAAATCAAAATTATCTAAAGCAGACACTGTTGGTTGATGAGGTCGTTTTTTCCCAGGAGTGTCCCATTTTCCTTTATTAATTAATGCTTCATTTTTTATCCTTCTTAGTGTCCTTATACTTACATCTATAAAAGATTAAACACTTTGAAACAAAGATATGTTAAATGTATTTAAAAGCAAATAATGATAGACACATACATCAAAATAATTTAAATACCTATTCAACTATGAATGCAATTTATGTTTAATTTAGTTAAGTTTATGTGCATATTTAGCATGTATAACAATTACATGGTTTGATTAGTTTCATGAATTCTGTGAATTTCCTTGTTAAACAAAACATTCTTATGACATCATTGGATGTCAACAATAAAAACCAATACATCATAAAAAACCTATGTAAATATTATAGGAATACTATCAATCTATCTTAAATCAAAACAAGAAAAGAGACCTGTCATTGAAGAAATTTTTTGTAAGTACTGCGTTTCCGAATTCAGCATTTCTTGTTTTTCTAAAGTTTTTATTGCATTTATCTCCTCCATTATTGGTTGAATATCACCATCACAGTTATCTGAAATAGAGCAATATTTTATAAAAAATATCTGTTTAGTTAATTACGGAAAATTAAAACGAAAGTATCAAAATTATAATACAAAACTAACCTAAAAAAGATACAACTTTATCTAATCGTTGTAATTTCTCCATGAAATTTTTATTTAATTCAGTTTTCACTTCAGTAAACTTGTCAATCATGATGGAAAGAAGTTTCCTCGATGAACTTTTTATCGGCTTCGACATAATTTTTAACCAAAAACACAAGTTCAAATTCGCAAAAACAACAAAATTCAATATTCTTGAATTGTCTAACGTAGTGTCAAACTGACAGTTCTATGTTGTTGCCATATGAAAACAGAAAAATAGGTGGTGTCACGTTTCGCTTGCCAAACTCTATGCATTATAATAATTATTTAGCATTTTGTCTTTTTCACTCGAACTGAAAGCCACATTATAGTGACGTAAATATAACTATAAGTATATAAGTTTCTTATTACTTAGGCCGTTTTTAAAGGTTCACAAATATTTTAATAAATTGTATGGAAATTTGTAATTCCTGAAACTTACGCGTTCATGATTGACGTGTACGTCAAAAAACTGTACACGATACATGCATTCTGACGACAAATCTAGTCAATTTCACCCGATTTCATTATATCTAAAGTATTTTGGAAAACTACAAGATGCGTACATAATAATTTCATTTTTGTTATTAATTGTATAACGACAATATTGTGTGTTTTGGATTGGTTTTTAGAATTTTGGCATAAGTAAAATACACAGGCAGTTTTATGCTTGAGCCAAATTCACTTTCATAAAAGAAAAGATATATTTTATATAGCACAATTATTTGATTGTAACTGCGACTGTAAGTTTGCGCCGATAAATTAATAAATTAATGAACGCCGGCTTTTATAAATTAATGAACGTCTTCCGAATATTGTTAATTTACTAAGCACAGGGTAGCAATAGATATTTGTACTTACATATTAATATTACTAATTCTAATGTTTGAGTATAGAGAAGATAAATAAGTTAAACTATTACATTTTAGACGTTAAGTGCACTTAACACCAATGAGCACTTATTTTATTTATACATAAAATATATTTACTTGCAAACCTTTTTGGATCTTTTATTTTATTCCGCGCGTATCGTTGCTTTTTTTATTTGGATAAAATAAATTAAAAACAATGCATGTTATTAATTTTTTAACACCTTTGCTCGTAAAGTTGATGTAATTTCACCGATTTTAAATATGTAAAGCGGGTCATAAAAAACGCGTGTGTTACCAAAGCAAAAAGTTAAGTTATACCTAGTCCATACAAATTCCATAACAGTATTATTTGCCATTTCGCGCGCTGTTGCTATTCAAATTTCGAACTAACCGCCGCGCGGCGCCAGTCAGTAGGCAAATGGCGGGAAAGCAACAGTGTATATTCACAAGATTGAGTTTATTTAATGTTTTTTTTTTCTGTTTACTCGCAAATGTGTTAAAAAACGTCGTACGATATACGTGCGTATTGGTTATAACATGCTAGGCTTAATTACGCCCTCGCCTTCGGCTTGGACTGAAATTCCGCCTCGCATGTTATAACCATCATAACGCACTAATATCGTAATGTACTATTAGAATCATGTTTCATCGTAGCTTAAGATTTACATGCCCTGTGATTCTGTAAAAATCCAAACCCGAATTCGAATTCACATAAAAAAGCGGCATCCGCTCAATTTTGAATTGGTAATAACGTTTCGTGGCATAAGTAAAGTGAGTTTCGAAGTGACATAGGAATAGAATATCTGAGACACGTATATTCAATTAATGCTGTTTTGTATTTTTATACCTAGAAATAAATGGAATTTCTAAATTATAAATGGCGTGAATTCGGGACACATGAGTGAATTCGGGTCTGGATTTATACATAATCGCAGGGCTGTATCTAACTAGAAATAATGTAAGTTTTATTTTTGAAAACGTCTGGGTTCGATTCCCGAACTGAGAATTAGTTCTTTTTTAATGTATGAATGTAGTTTTTCTTTCCACTTAAATCGACAGCATGGTAATCGATCTTGGCAAATCTTAATTTCAGACTTTCCCATACTGACCATTAATTTTACTCCTCTCGTCATCATCATCAGACCTCTTACGTCCACACTGCAGGGACTTCCTTATAGAAGAAAAGAAGAAGGATGAATGTAGCCAGAATTAACGACTTAACAGGCCTTCCGAAGCACGGAGTAGCTCGAGGAAGTTTATTGTTACTCATCTCGTGGCCGACCCTTGCAAAAGTTGCTTAACAAAAGCGATCGCAAGCCCCTGTATATGAATAAATAATTGTAGAACATCAAATACATTGCTCATTATAGTAGCTCTTATTCTTGTAGTTATTAGTAATCCAAAACAACACTCAGACCCAAGACAATATAGAAAGCTTCATTTTCTATATTGATTATTTATTTGTCTATGACTCGACCGAGAATCGAACCCGAGATACCTCGGTATGGCCTTCAAATTAGCGTACGAGTTACTCTGCCACGGCGGTCGTCTAATATAGTAACAAGACAAAATTATTGGAGGGTATCATGTTAAATCTAAATAAAAATAGAAATACATGTTGAAAATATATAATTTTGTCTTAATATTTCTTATAAGTAGTCAAAAAAATCAACTTCATTGAAATACTTATATTAAATTAAAGTTAGACTAAATATATTTGATTTTGTTTCTTATTTCCATGGATCAAAATCAATTGAATTAAGGGCTTACTTGTTTCAACTACAATACTAAACAACAATTAGTCAATTAGCTGAACCTAAAAAATTAAATGATCAAAAACAAGATCATGTCATCTTGTAAAAAAATAAGGAAAACAAGCACTACAGCACCTGTATAGCCTATTTATTCAACAATATGATGGCTTTTGAGTCTGCTATCATGTTGAAAGCATAATATTCATAAATTGATTCAATTATAAAATTGTTAGCTGTGAAATATCCATATATTAATGTATCTGTTAACTTCTAGCATAATTATTGTCTATTTCAATGCGTAAATGCGATTGTTTTGATTTGGATAATCTCTCTCTTAGGTCATCTGGTTTTTTGTGTTTTCTTGATTTTAAAATACTCCTCAAGTCATTTTGTTCATTGATATCATTATTTACATTTTCTAATCTGGACCAAACACTAGTATTGTTTGTATTGGTATTGATTTTTTTTACTCTACTCATTACATGATGATCCATACTATCTGCTAAAGACTCATCACTTGACCAAACATCACTGGAGCGAGTGACTTTTGATCCCAATCGTAATTGTATGCTAGATTTCGGAATCTGTTTGCGACTTGTTTTAAATTTGTCAGATAGTTTTGTTGTTTCTCTTGGCATATAATTGCTTTTGGAGTTTACTACTTCTATTGATAAAGGTGCATATACATCTCTATCGTTGGATGATTCCCTGCTAGGGTTCGGAGATTTCGTCTTATGTTTGGACTCCTCATCATCAGCATGCATTCTCATTCTTGGCGTCTTTGATTTCTTCTTCCATTCTGAATCTGAATTACTGTCATCACTATGATGATTTTTAAATGAATTATGGTTCCTTTTACCTAAACGCATTGCCAATCTTTTGTTCCGTACTTGAACAACTTCATGACAATCATCATCCTCGTCCTTGTATTCATGATCAGGTAATTTTCGTTGAAAAATTTCTTGATGATCATACACCCCCCATGTTTGACACAAATCTCCCCATGGATTTTTACTTATTGTGGGGTCATCAAATACCTTAGGGTGTTTGTCATAATCAGATTTCTTTTTTGACATTTTTTTATCTCCATTCGTAGCAAATCTCATAAAAATTAAATCATTTTTAGGATGTGGTGCACCTTCCCTCCAATGATGGGGGGATTTATTTTGGAGCATGTTCTTTACGTCATCGCTTTTTATTTCGCGAGAATGAACTAATAATGCTAATGCAGCAGTTATATGGTCTTGGCACACAATGTTACCTGAAATATAAAATACATATTAGAAACTATCCTTGAATCCTTAGTGCTAACGTTATTTATTAATGATAAGATCTATAAATTACTTCTTGGATCAATTATCTAATTTAAAAGTATAAAAACAAAATTTGATCAGCAGATCTACTTCATAACTATTACAGACTAACTTTACATCAGATTGAATGAAAATGCGCTCAACATTCAATACTGTATGTTTCACAATTACATTTGTTGTGTATGCTCAATAAATTCACATAATCACATAACTTTCCCTCCCTCATATCTGCCAATCTGCATTAGTCCAGCATGGAGGGTCATGGCCTATCCTCCTCCTTAACCCTGAGCCCCTGCAGTGGGGACATAAAAGGGCTGATGATAACACAACTTTCAAGACAGCATTGAATTTAAAATGCATTGTGAATGAATTTGTTGTCAAAGAATATGGAAAAACATATACATATAACTAACCCATCTTAAGTTATATTTTTAATAAAGTTTAATTTAGAGAGTGGTGTAAACGATTTGCTACGAATAACCATTACTACATTGTAAATGCTCCTATAATGTTAAAAGACACGATCTCCATACTCCCACCCACAAACTTCAACTGTTTAGTGATAACTAGGCTCTGATAAATATTCTCTGATGAAATTTTGTATTGTCAATGGCATATTAAACTAATGACAATTTTAATAAATGTTTGTGCAACTGGTAATTAATTAATGTTCTAAAATAAGAAATATTATTACATGAGGAATCATCAATCCATTCCAAGGAAACTGGCTTAAAGTCTTCTAAGTACTCAAATATCTCTCTGGTGGTCAAGTTATCGACTCCATTCAGATGAATTGTGTCAAAGCGAAAATGTCTTTCATTTCCACTTTCAATGCCACAATTTGCATATAGTTCATCAATCTGTTTCTGAGTAACAACTTTATTTCCAGTCAAATCCAGTCCAAATCGTTTAGCTCTTTCCTCTAATTTAGAAGCATCCACTTTTTCTAGTTGTTGTACCAATAATCCATGTTTATCTGCCTTATACATCTACAAAACAAAGTTAAAAAAGTAATTAAACATACAGTCCGGAAATGCTATATCATAGTTTAACTTGTTTTATTCATATTGTTAATTTGAAAAGCACAAAAATTCATTATAATTTACTGGGTAAAAATTTAAAGAAATAATATTTTAAGTGTGTTCCAGATTATGCATGTCTCTGATTAAAATCTTATTAACTCAGAAATCATTTGTTTTAATTTATATATTTCTATAAAACATTAAATATCAGAATTAGATTTCGAATTTTATGATCACCTAAATCAAAACAAAACAAAAAAAAGTCAGGAAATATCATTTCATTTAAAACCTGTGAAAGGGCTACAGATGAAATATTTTCTAAATATCGTTATTCAAATTATGATTTCAAAGAAGTTGTTTCTTGAGATCAACATTTCATTTTGACATCCAACCAATATCTCACCATATAAATTAGTCAATAATTACATGTTTTTTATTATAATATCATTGACAATAAGTATACACAAAGATCGATCAATTAAATATAAATAAGTAAAAAACAATATTTACGATTGTCTGTTGCGTTTGTGCAACATCCATTGGAAGCTGTTTTGGATTAACTTCATCGACGAGCATGCTGATATCTTCATCGCTCATTTCACCTTCTTCTCTTTCCATATTGTATTTTGAAACAATTCTTTGCTTTTTGATTTTATAGTAATAATAACAACTGTAAGTGATAGTTAATTAATTTCTAATAAAATCACAGAAGAATAATTAATTATCTAGAAGTATATTTCGATAAATTCACTTTATCATACTGACAAACAATGACAAACCACAGATTAAGGACTAGTTACGTACTCGTGACAAAGACAAGCAGACGAGGAAGGGTGAGATACCCGATGATCATTTATTATCGATGAACAATGATGCTAGAAGATAAAATATCGACTTTGATATAATTAAAACATCGTAACATCGATGTCAGCAAGGACACATCATTGAAATTTGATCGTGTACAGGCCATACATGATCGACCGAAATTTATCAAAATCTGAATGCTACCTTATTTTCTGATTAAAAAAATACCATTGTCTTGTTTTAGGAAACTTCCACGACGACATATCATTTAGTCATCGAAAGGATTTTGGGTATTTAAACTTAAGATGCCTTTTTATGCCCTAATGTTTTAATTTTAAAAATGTCGTTTGCCATAATGTTTGTTTTATTTATCGATGACGATGTGTGAAAAAATATATCGATTTTTGCTAATATTTACGTTTTCCTTTTAACTTTTATCAAACATCGAAGCTTCACTATTGATGCTGGCATTGATTTCAATATAGATGTTTTTCTAACAACAGGGGCTGCAATCTCGACATTAATAGCGATACGATCGCAAAGTATCGAATGTCAAAAAGTAACGAAAATAATTGCTTGCGGTAACGATCGTTACTTCAAATGCAAGTCTCTATTACCGAGTTACCGAGCAAAATCGTAAACTATTCAGACGATAACATATCGAAAATCTGTAGTTTCCTAAAGTAGACAATTTTGCTTCAGACAAAAGTATTTTAAATCTAAGGAAATCAAAACAACGTATTTTGTTTTTAAGTAATGATTTCGTGTTCAATTTAGCAAATAAAAATAATAAAAAGAAGCGTACTAGAAAATTATTGCTTTTTATTTATTTTAAAAGGATAATTATTTATTAAATGTGTTAAATCAATTCGATTATTATTGGAAATTAAAATTTGTTTCCTTGCGACATCTTACTGTCATCGATATGTCGAAACAGTATTGTTTATACCCACAAAAATCGATAATTAGCAATATTCGTTAAATTACGATCGCTATGAGTTAGCGACAGAATTCGGTAACATTGCGTTCGCAAACTGTGTCGAGACTACCGCTCCTGGCATCCCTAAATAAAGGGAGAAAACGTATCAATTATCTGAGCTATCGATAGTGAATACTTATGTAATCGGCAATTTTGGTAGAATACTTACTTTCTCCCAATTTTTCTCAGTTTTATTAAATTTAAATAAAATAGTGAACTTTGGAATAAACTACTCTTATAAAATGTAAAATATTATAAAATGTGTTAAGATAGTAGCCATGATATATTTGAAATACAAAAATTATGTTTTACTTTTATTTTGAATTTCAAATAGTAAATCGGACAAGTATATGCAATTGATAATTTTATATGAACTATTTTTTTCATTATGAGAGGGCCAGTACTCCGCGGTTTGCGCCGTGTTGATATGAGCTATTAGCATCTAAACACGACAGTCACTTCAGTGTATATAATATTTGCGAACGGAATACATGGCAATCGCAAATAATATATCTGCCCCCTTATTCTGTAAATCTGGTTACTACCAAGAACAACCGAAATAAATTGTTCACAGAGCCCTGTGAGCAAGCGGTCATCGCGCTGTTTTGGTATTCTGTAACTCATTTTTAACAAATCATAAACCCTAGTCATTGCTATTGATTTTTTCTTATAAAGATTCAATCACTCATTGAAATTCACTTTCATGATCACTAATGCTTTCGGAATTTCGAAAATACATATCGATATATCGCCAACCAAAAATATCGTTATCAAAGGAACAGCGATATTGATATATCGAAAAACCAGCCTATCAATACCAGATATTGAATGAAATTCTAAGAGTATCTCTTCACATGTGATAAAGTTATAAATCATAAAATGCTGATGAAATGCTAAATAGAAAGAAAGAAGCTATTATTAAATTTTCTAAAAGCTAAGTCAACTACTTGATGACACATATGGTATTCCATAAGATGAAAAAATATTTACATAGTCTGACATACAAAATTGGTGCAATTCCAACATTATTACATAGTATACGGGGCTAATTGATAACAACCCTGTTTTGATATACGTAGGCGGGATGATAAATAACTAGTCCAACCCATATTTTGTATAATAACGATATAAAATCTCCTTAGTATTTTACTCATTGATTAATTAGCTGCCAATGTTCCAAATTTCAAATCGATCGTATAGTTTTTCTTTTAAATATTGACATTTCAAAAAGCATTATTTTGTTTTTTTTTTGCAAAATGGATAAAATTGAGCTACGAGCTGTTATAAAGTTTTTGCATTTAAAAGGATTAAGAGGTGGATAGATTTTGTCGAAAATGAAGGATATTTTGGGAGAAAATGCTCCTTCATATGCGACCATAAAAAATTGGGTGGCTGAATTTAATCGTGGCCGTACCAGCACCCAAGATGAACATCGTCCAGGACGTCCAAAAAGTGCCACTACTCCAGAAATTGTGATCAAAATTCATGATGCAGTTTTAGCTGACACCAAAGATTGAAACTTTCCGAGATAGCTGATACTTCTCTAAAGAACGGGCGCATTACATTTTGACTCAAGAATTATGTATGAAAAAATTATCCGCAAGATGGGTGCCGCGATTGCTTACAGTTGACCAAAAACGCGATCCACAAGAATGTTTGGACCGCTTTAAGAGCAATACAACTGATTTTCTGCGACGGTTTGTTACTACAGACGAGACTTGGGTTCACCACTATATACCTGAATCAAAAATTCAGTCTAAACAATGGACGGAAAAAGGATCCCCGGCTCCAAAGAAAGCAAAAGCCGTGAAATCAGTGAGGAAAGTCATGGCGTCAGTATTTTGGGATTCGAAGGGTATATTGATGATCCAAAAGGACAAAACATAAATGGCGAACATGATAATACAAGTGTGTATTCGTGAAAAAAGACCCGGCCTGGCTAAAAAAAAAATAATCTTTCAACAGGATAATGCGCGCATTCACGCGTGCATCACTGAGATGGCGAAATTCAAAGAATTAAATTATGATTTGCTAGCACAACCAGCTTATTCTCCTGATCTGGCACCATCTGACTTTCATCTATTCCCTAAGCTCAAATTTTTTTAGGTGGACAAAGATTTGAAAATAATAGCCTGTCGTGGACAGTTATTTTGAAGGGCTTGAAGAAAACCACTTCAGGGATGGCATCAAAGCTTTAGAGTATAGATGGATGAAGTGCATAGCGCTTTAAGGAGACTATGTCGAAAAATAAATATACTTTTAACACACTAATTCAAGTTTTTCTATGCTAGGCTAGCTATTTATCATCCGGCCCTCGTAAATCAGCAACAAATAAAAAAAATCTTCCATACCCAATGAACTATATGTAGAAACTCTAAGATATAAATGCCACAACAACATTATGAGAAAATAATATGCAGGACATTATAATGAGGAAGTATTTAAAAAAAAACATTAGTTCCCGAAAACAAACTAGATGTCGCCACGGTACGTTCTTGATTTCTTCATGACAACCTTTCCGGTTTTCTTTTATGTTTAAAAGTAAATTAGTTTTCAAAACTCAATAAACAACTCATATTCTATTTGTACTCTTTCGTATTTTTATTGATATCTAAGTTTCGAACTTTCAAATTTCAGTTTTTTAATATGTTAGTTAATAGAAATGGAAATGACTGTCTTTGGTCCATTCGTTTCTTGCAAAGATTAACTTTTGCTAGGGTCGCCATCTAGTGGAGGTGCGTTTTTAGTGCTTTCGTTTTTTTTTAAATACTACATTATTTTTACCATTGCATAGCACAGCGTTTTTAGCTCGATTTTGCCTATTAAAACTTTAAGAATTATTTTCATCGAAAATAAAATAGATTTCCATGAAATTTATTAACGGTGGGTTTAAAATGTACCAAACAACCATTTCAAATAGTTTTCAGAAAAGTGGCAAACGTCCTACTGGTTTTAAAATAAAAGGCATTGATTATCGATTTTCACAAACATACGTTTTTCGGAAAGTTGTACAACACTAGTCTCTTCTCTTCTTTTGAGGATTATTTTTTAACTCTATTTTTTTTCAGGTATTTTGAAGTCATTACTGTATGGTAATTTAAAATAATAAAGTCGTTTATACAAAAACCGTCTGTAAAATATTTGGAGCATTATTACCAGTATATTAAGATGAATTCAGACATTAATATGAGTTTGGAAGACATAATTAAAAAGAAACGTGAAATGAGGTGAATTTTTATTGGAAATGTTGAATTTAAATGGTGAAGTCCATACGTAATAGTAATACGAAAAAATTTCTTACAGATCCAAAAATTCACAAAACAAAGGCAAATCAAATGTCCCGTTGAAAAAAAAATTGCCTGTTACTGATGCACGACTCAAGATTATTTCAAAAAAACGCATTCAAATTACAGATGCCCGTGAAAAGTTATCAGAACTTGCAAAACAAAAAGATGCCCGACTCAAAATAGAGCAAATGAGATTAAAACGCGTGAGTATTTTGTTATACGAAATATAAATCACATTCCTCTTTATCAATATCTCTAATACTAACTGCAGAATAACAACGTTACAGTAAAACCAAATAAAATTTGTCTAACTGTCTATTGCTATAAAAAAACTTGTAATTGGACATAGTCATGTAAACCAGATCCAATCTACATAATTACAGTATCAAGAAAATTGGGTATTTGTTAAAATATTAAAAAGAAAAAAGTGTTTCTTGTTTTTATTTAATTTTTTTTTGCAGTATTGTAGATATTATTTCAAAAAGTTTAACTTACATAAATTTAATTATAATACATTTGACTATATAAAAACCGTCCTGGATCTTTATTGCAAAATTTATTTGATGTGGATTTAATCTTTATTATGAAATTAAGACTATATTTGTATGAAGGGCAATGATATATTGACAAATGGTGTAAATATTATTGGACAACCCCAAAAGTAGGAGTGATGCAGCAATTTAAACCATTATTTATTGATCAACACTAGTCCACTCGCTCACCATTCATTAGCATTACATTTTTCTGCCATTCTATTGCCAACCTATCAAAAAACTATACTGTCACAGTTTTTTGCAAGATAGTGTTTTCAACACAATCAGTGTTTTAATTTTTGAGTTTTTACATTTAAGTTTGTAAGAACGAGCTTGAATCTTTTTTGCAAAGCCAATCGTGAACTTACTCTGATGATATAAAAATTGGTTTCATCATGCTGCATGGATCTTTTCTTAAGTTAGTAAGTTTTCCCTTATGTTGTAAAGTGTAAAGTATTATTTTAATCCAATGTGTAATTTAAGAGTAATATGTTGTTTAACATATAGAGTAGACACATACATACATAATATACACCTACAAAATGTGTTTTTTTTAAGTGAGTTAAAAAGAGGGCCTTTAATTGTCACAAGTTTTAGAAGACTGTTAATTTTTTACTCCTTTTATAATTAGTTTAAATTGTAATAGTTTATATCATGGATGGCCAACCAGTCGATCGCGACTATTAGTCCAGTGGATCGTGGCAATTAAAAAAATATAAATACACAGTGTACATAACTATGTTGTTTCATTTAAGATTTTAAGAAGTAAAGTAATTGGTAGATCCGTCAGTCAAAAGTCGATCTTGGGTCTAAACAAGTTGGCCACCCCTGGTTTATATCTTCAAAACAACATAAGAGAAATCTTACTTACTTAAGAAATGAAATGTTACCAGAATAGAAGGTTAGATTAGGCTAGAATAAACCAAAATATAAACGAATTGCTTCAAGAATAGTGGATTAATTTAGGTTAGTACTGCTACTATCACAGAAAATGTTTATCCTGTAAATATAAGTAAAATGTTTAAATACAGACCAAGGTGTCCATTTATTAGGCCTAAAGCGCATGACGTATTGTAAACGCGCAGATGACAGGCGTAGACGCGCTTCAAACGAGATTTGAACGCAACCTTGTACCTAACCTTAGCACACGGGGTGATCGTGAAACATGCGTCTACTGCACATATACGAGCAGACACAGCGATAAAAAAGGCAGCACATAATGAAATTATAAAAACTATAAAAACTCAAAAATCAGCATGTAAGGCGCAAAAAACGCGCGTCGTCTGCGCGTTTGAAATACGCCATGTGCTGGGGCCTTACAAGTTAGAAGTAAGTAATATGGATTGGTGAAATAAATAAAAACAATTTGAGAAAAATTAAACCATCTTCAATAAAATCGTAACACGAACAATTTTTTTTGAGGTGGGTGTCAGATATTTAAAAGACAAATATTATGTATAGTAAGTGAAATATAGATTTTGAGATAGTGCTGTTTTACTTCTTTCTTGCTAATTAAATGGCTGGCATTGACATAAAAAAAAAGTTTTGGAATATCCACTTATTGTGTTTCGATTTAGCGAAGATGAAAATTTCTGGCATTATTTCTCTCTTTTCACTCCTTTCTCCTAAACGAAATTTTGAAGTTGGTTTATTTTTTTTAAGACAAAAAATAAATTTTTTTTTATAAATATATATCAAATATATATTTTTTAAATATTTATAAAAGTAAATAAATACATTTTTGTGTTGTTAAACTTTCAGGTTGAAGCTCAAGGAAAACCTCGAAATATGAATTTGCAAACACGCAATAAATTTGTGCGGACAATATACAATAAAGAAAGAGGTAAGAACTTTTTCTGTTGATATAAATGTCTTGTAACGGATAATTCTATTTGATTTAAATAAAAAATATTTCACGTTTGGCACTCATGTAAAACCTACAATTCATAAGGCTCTTTGCTTATGGCTTGATCGATGCAATTATTTTATGTAAAAGCGTGTATTGTACGAATACGTACAAAGCTATAGAAAATTCGTTGCGTGTCTTGAGTGCGGTACAGGCTAGTCAACGTTCTTTTAATTATCTTATTAGATAAAAAATACATACCTAGCAAATTTTTTTTTTAATAATGTTCAATCAATAATGAGGCTACAATAGAAACTTAATGGTAAGGAGTTTCTATTGTAGTCTAATTATTGCTATTATCTATATCCCTTACTCTGCCAACATTAAACGAGAAATTTCAGTTACTAGTACCTATATTAGGAATCCGTGTTCGGCTCTTCGGCGCGCATAGACAAACCTCTTTGCTAAACGCTAATTTAATTTTTAATACAACATCTTTTGTTTCAGTATTTGTTGATCCTTCTCGACAAGTTGTAAGCCAGTTTCATAGTAACACTAGAAATTTAACCAGACAGTTTAATTCAAACAGATTGATAGGAGGCAATTTCAAATATAAGCATTCCAAAAATGCAGGTAATCTATACTAATAAGCTATGCTAAAGAGTTTATTTGTTTGTTTGGTTGAACTCTATAATCTCGGGAACTACTGGAACGAATTGATTTTTTTTTGTCTTGAAAGGCTATTTATCGTGGAAGGCTATAAGCTATATTATTATATCATCACATTGTGACTTATAGGAGTGGAGCAGTAATGACAAATGTTGCAAAAAGGGGAGAATATTTTACTCTTTCAAGGTTTCCTTGCGTGCACTGCGTAAACCGCGAAAGTTACGAGAAAATAACTTTAAAAAAGTCCACGGCAGCATACGTCTATCTTATATCTTATCCCGAAAAAAATGTAATTATATTCCATGTCATCTTTTTTCATTATTAAATTATTTTAAGCAGGATCACATTGAATGCCAGCTGGAAAAGCTGATTTTTGGAAATGGCTAAATTGTTATATTTCATTAAAATTTAATTTAGTTTGCTAAAATTACTTTCTATAGAGGTTCTTTAATTTTAATATTGTTTAGATAGGTGTAACACGATATAAAAATATATCACGCGATATCGCGTCATCGGCCATACATAACACAATTATTGCACACATTCGGTACAATGACGCGATATCGCGTGGACGGCCACTGGCTGGCGGGCCATCGCGCGATATCGCGTGATTGGCATTCGACGTGTAGCGTTTAAAATAATTCAAATCGGTACAATCAATATCGTTAATATTAAATGCATATGTTGGCTACACGTTAGTACACGTAAAAGTTACATTTCGCTGACGCTACCATGTTTATCATGTTTCCGATGTTTATCAAACAAAAACTTTCTTTTTCAATTTTGAGGTTTACCATAACAATTTAATTGCCAATTGTTAATCGGACAAAAAATGATAATGTTACAATAGCTGGTAACGCTAGATGGCGCTACTGTATTTTTAAAACGTCTTCTTCTTTTATTTTTTAAATAAAAGAAGAAGAAGAATCGTTTATTGATCTCACAAAGGCACAAACAAGATTGTACATTATTAGCACATACAGCACGATAAAGATAGATGTTTGTTGTCTATTGTTTACCGATGTTTATCAAACAAATTCGCTTCAATTTTCAATTTTCCACAGTCAACAAGGAACCCTTATAGTTTTGTCATGTCTGTCTTTCTGTCTGCGGTCTAGCTCAGAAACTATTTTTATAAGAAAGTTGTAATTTAGCATGAGTATACACTTAAATCACGCTGACAAAGTGTTAAAATAAAATCAGATTTTTAATTAAGAGTAGCATAAGACTCCGGTATAGCGGGCCAGTGTGCACATCATCATCAGTCCTTTTTACGTCCTCACTGCAGGGGCTCAGGCCTTCCTTATGGATGTTTAAGAAGGATGGGCCATGTCCCTCCACGCTGGCCCAATGCGGATTGGAGGGTATTAACGACTGCAAATGCAGCCGGGACCAACGGTTTAACGTGCCTTCCGAAAAACGAAGTAGTTCGAGATAATATTTTTTGGACACCCATACCGTGACCGACCCTTGCGAAAGTTGCTTAACAACAACGATCGCGTGCAGCGGCGCTTGTGTGCACATAGTACCCCCGGATCACGTGGACGAAGCCGCGGGTTACAGCTACTTTTTAATATAAACACAATTTACGTTATATGTGTACAATAAGCTTTTATAACAACAATACACTGCTTCGCTACAATCTGTTTCATAGTTACATAGAGAGCGAAGAACGCGCAGTCTAATCGATACTCCATTGGGTTACGCGTTCTTTGAACACCTTGAACACTGGTCATTTTTAGGTGTAATAACTGAAATTTAATAACTATTGAGAGAATAGCAAGCTAGTGCTAGTAATCTAGTATTAGTAAGCCAGCACACTACTGCTACTAAATCAGCAAAGTAGTGCCAGTAAGCCATCAAATCAGTGCTAGTAAACTAGTACTGTCAATTAATACGAAAATAGAGGCACTCCTCTCGAAAAAAGTTACAGCTAGTCAGCACTAGCTTGCTTTTTTTTAAACCTTTAAACCTTTCAAATCACTTTGACCAATATGCGTGAAGATTAATAAATTTATAGATGGAATGCCAAGACCGAAACCAATTGTTCGAACAGTTGAAAATGATATCGAGGCAATTGATGATCCAATGGATGAAGTATATGAACAACCAAGAACATTATTAAATCGGAAAGCCAGTCTTCAACTGAAAATAGTCGCTCGTAATAATGATATGTGGGATAGCAGGAGCGTTTTAACTCAGAGGTTAGTTTATAATATATTATTATTTAATTAATTTACTAAATATATGTATAATATACTGTACAAAATTTTTGAGACACCATAAGCTACCCAATTTTAGATATAATTTGTTTACTCAATCTATAATATAATCAGTTCCTGTAAACAATGTATCATCTTGAGTGCATTAAAGTCTATTATTATTATTATTTTTCCTGTACGCAAAGGTTGCCTGGAAGAAATAACTTTTTAGTAATAAGGCTGTCAATTGTACATTTTAATTTATTGTATCAATTAAGCATATATCATTTATTTATTTAATATTAGTAAATCTTTCAAATTTGCACCATATAAATGATATATAATGTCCTTCTTTCCTTAGAACTACCACCGTGGAAAAAGAGAAGAGTCCGCCAAGACCTCCTTCTATTCTTAAAAAGCGACCAATGGCAGCTTTGAGAACTGAGAAGCCAACAGAAAAGTCTGATAAACCTGTATTAGAGTACAGAATTATAGTTAGCAATTTGCGTAATACTGTTACTGCTGGTGATATTGAGGTAAGTTTAAAAACGTTCCTTAAAATATACAGGGTAAGTGGTGAAACACCATCAATCTCGAAGGACTAGATGACCATAGTACGATCGCCGAACTGAGAGAGTTTCGTACTATGACCCAGCATTACATATCATTTTCACTCTTGCGCAAACATATACATAATTTTGTCACTGCAAAGTGAACCTAAAATGTTTACTATATCTATAAGGCACAAAGGTCAAAGTACTGTATAGGGATCTAGACAACTTTTTTATGTTATTATTTTATAGATATAATATGAATTGTGTAAAAAAATCATATAAATAGTTAAAATCTAAAATATAATATTTCCCGCGAAAACGCCACTTTTGTCATGGCGTCGCTATGACGTCACGCTCCTCTGAAACTAATATCGTTCTATGTATGCTTAAAGTCACGCGCTTGCTTTCACGTAAGGCAGGGGTAAGGTACTCCTTGAGGGCATCCTCCAGATTATATATTCGAAAAATATGAACCATTTTAACATTTAACTAAATAAATTTTGTGACACTGATTTGGAAAATCAAAACGATTTGTAAACTTGAAAAAAGTAGGAAAAATATATTATAAAATTTGCTAAAATACATATTAAATAAGTTTCGTTTTCAAACAACATTCATTATAACAGCTATAAACATAAACTTTTCCAGACGCCTCACAGAGGTGAAATATGCCGAATATGTGGCCAATATTAAATCAAGTATGATTGTGCTTATTTAATGTTGTACCTAGTCCAAAATAATAGTTTAAATGTGTATTATCAAAATAAAGGCTTTATTAATACTATATTTATATAAAAAAGCCTTTAAATCACGACTTCAGGTTCTTTTAGGAGTACTATAACGTCATGAGGATAAGATTTTAAATGCCTTTGTGGTAGTTTTCTAAGACCTGTAATGTAAGGATCTGAAGATATTAAAAGCTGATGAAATAAATCTTCCATAGTTTGTTTTCTAGAGAATTTTCGGGTAAAGCCTTCACGATATTTTTTGATATCTTTGTTCTTACTTTCTTGGGCCTCCTAGATACGATAAGAAGAAAAAGATAAGAGGCCTATGGGAACTACTGCATTATATATTATAATATGTCCATGAATTAATATTCTTTGTACGGTAGTCGGCATGTTATACCATGGATACCACTTTAAATAGACGACAGCTGTTTTCAGAGTGTATATCCTGAACTTTTCATCATTTATTGCTAGCCCACTAAACATTGTCATCAAAATTATCCATAATCTATTAAGTAGATTTTTGCTTATACCAGTTATTTCTGCAGATGTTTCATAATTGCTAAATAATCGTCGCGAAGAATTCCCATCATTGGTGCTCCCATAGCCATGTTTAGGCTGATCTACTAAAATTCCCAGTTTTGATTTAAATTCATATTGCACTCTTTTTTTTCTCTAATTCTACTTTACATTTATCATCTGTTCCTATTGCTTGTCACTTGCATAGTTTTAATTTGTAGGACCAGATTAACAAGAGATTAACATACACAAAACAAACGATTAACACCCATCCACAAAAGATTAACATCCATTCATAAAATCTGATCCAGCAATGAACTGATGATAGACCCAGTTGTAATCGATGTTGGTCTATAATTGGTTTACTTAAACAGTAGTTTAGTTTATTGAAATCCTTTGCTGTAACTCCATATAAGTTGCATCTTTGAGTGGAAGCAGTATGTGTAATTGCGTTTATTGCTTTGGCATCTACCATTGTCATAACTGAATGGTGTTTAATAGATGTACTTCGTTCATTAAGTATTACATTTGTATTTATAACGGTAACGGTTGCCTGGAAGAAATTGCTTCTTAGCGATAAGGCCGCCAATTGTAATATATGTTTTATATTATTGTTACCTATGATTGATGTTTTTGTAAAATAAAGCATTATTCTATTCTGTTCTATTTATTAAACTCTTAATTTGTTCTTCAATATACTTTGTCTCGTTTTGTACTACTTCAGTTGTTTCATGAACAAATTCTAATTTTATGGGTCTACAGTACCTAGGTGATGAAGGACGTTCATACCACGAGGGTCTCCACCAACTATTTGTACAGGTACCAAAGATGAAATAAAAATAGAAGCATCAGATATATCTGCATTTTCAAATACCTGCTTATATTCAGCCTGCCCGGAAGTACCATCACAGCCCCATTTACTTATGAGCCACATGTTATCTAATTTACTTTCTTCTAGTCTAGAAAGTACATCACTAAGTGATATAGCTAACCTTTTTAGTGTGTGATCGAGAAGATCTTGCAAAGGAACCTCTGCTGAACTTTCAGTTATTAGGATGTTGTCAGGATAGCACCTTTTTTTTACCTTTATTACGCTACGATATAGGGGACAATTCTCTTCAAGGGTATTACTTCTAATAATATTTTATTGATATTTAGTCAGTTTAGCATCAGTAATTAAAGAAAGTGCTTTATCTTCTATCAGCTTAGTAATTTTAACATCATCTTTCTTAATATAATTTTTCGCAGAGTCGGGGCTTTTAACAATCTCAGCTTAAACTTTTGCAGCTTGAATATTACCTTCTGATCTGAGCTTCATTTCAGCTGCAAATGTCAACACCATTGTTCCTGTGCTTTTCTTAAATCTTGAATTTTCCTCCTTTCACTGCATTCCTCAAAATCTTTTTGCGGCCTTCCCGCAGAACATTGCAGATTCTATGTCTACCGATATTTTGCTACCGTAGCACTGTGTGACGTCACTTAGTGGTTTGAATTTGTAGGGAGCGTTTCCGGCCGGCTAGCAGCAGTTCCACAAACATAGCACTGTATCCCCGAAACTATTTATGGCAGATATGCTGTTTCTTCAAATATTAATGGACAATTTTATAAAATAAAAAAATATCAACTAGCCTATTGCAATGACGATTGATCGCGATCGCGTTCAAGAGTTAAGCATCCTGTTTTGTATTGATGCTATTTTTGTCTTCTATTATAAATCACAATTATTATAATAAATAGTAGATGCGAGACATAAAACTGATTGGATATAATGTTTCTTTTAGGAACTGTTTGGAGATGTCGGGGGTATGGTGGAGTCTCGATTAGTGAGACCCGGCACTGCAGAAGTTATTTATAAAACACAAGAAGATGCTCAAAGGGCTGTGGATCTTTATCACAATCGACAATTAGACGGGCAGCCAATGAACTGCCTGCTTGTTACTCCACGTTCAAATTCTGCAATTGGAAGGTAAACTTATTAGTGAAAATCTTTAAATCGGTGCTTCTTAATTGATGGTCCCTGGAAGCATTCCCAATGGTTCGTTCACCGAACAGAGAGAACGCTAAGTATGAGTGAGACGGACTCATAATCCGTTGTATTTTACACCTTATGGCAATTGAAACAAGACGAACTATAAATTTTAGTAATTTAATCGCATCGCGTATCGCAATCTGCTCTGCGTAAACTTCATATTAGATCGAACTTACTGTGTTACGTTTTTCATTGCATTGCAGTAACATGATAGTTTGCTATTTGTATGTTTCAGAAGTACCACCAAACCTGCGCTATATAGTACGAATTCAAATGTGGAACCTGACATTTCTACATTTCATAAAGTACTATTTAGCAACCTGTGAAATTACGAAAATGAAGATTCTTGAATGCTTCTAATTTGAATATTGAATAAGTAAGTAATAGAGGTCCGATATTGCTAAGTTGTCTATTCAACAGGTATTAAGTCTATAGTATCGCATATCAGAGTGCCACATACCGATACGTCAAATCCCGTTGTGTTCTTATTATTAGTTTATCACTGTGTTTTATTAGTTGTTGTAAGTTAATTTTATAATTGTGATGCCGCGATGGATGCGTTTCTTTACTTGGTAATAGTATTAACCGGATAAATAAATATGTTCTAGTATCGTTCATCATTTGCATTTCATAATTTTCAAACAGTAGACTCGCAATATATATATTATTTCTTGCATAAAGCATCCATTTCTGCCGCCAAGTGCAGTCAAGCCAAGCCAAGCCAACCATATCTGTAATAAAAAAATTACCTCTCTTTTTTAAATTAAATCCCCCATGACTACCCTTACGAACCAAGCTATAAGTAATGTAACTTGATAATATGTATTTTTTATTAATTTGTTAAAAATGCTGGTACTAATTTGATTATATTTTCCTACAAGACACTTAGGACATAGATAACTAGTATGCTATAATTTTTGCTTGATAATTAACATGAATAAACAAATAATTACTATATTTCTGATTTATTGTATCTGAAGGTTTACAATCGGCACTACTAATCGGCAATCGACACTGTAAATTATGAGGGCTAGAACAACTCCATTCACTACCTTCATTGGACTATAAATGTCGTGGCCAGATTGTAGGATTGACCAATTCATGATGCGGCCGGCCATTTCATAGATATTGTTTCATGAAATGGAAAAAACATGTTGACCACCTCATCATGTGGCCTGGCCAGATCAATGAATAATTTGTTTAACGATATGGGCAGCTGATCGTCTGATAATTATGTGGCCAGGCATTAGTGATCATATTGTAAAATAATTACTTTAGTTTCAGTGAGAGGCGCTGATGGCGAATGTTTATGTGATAGAATGATGTATTTTATTTTTTAGGTTATGCAACAAATTAAAGAAAGTAATCGTTTTCCGTCGTTCCGTTGCGTTAAGTCTAGTTACAATTGTAGCAGTGTAGTGTGTAGGAACGGCGACAAAGGCTATTCTATAGTTTTATGGATGTGTCCCAAGATTATGATGTAAGGATTTTGATCTAGCTCCAGAGGATGATAAAAATATATTGGAGGATATAAAGGTTTTTGAGATATGAACTGAACTAAATTTCCTATATGATTCACTACTGTAGGTCACATGATAGGTAATGCTTCGCGATTGGCTTAAATTGCGAGGTTATTTTTTTCAGACTAAACAAGTTATTTCAACAAATGATTAAATTTCTTTTTTTGACACCCTATATTAATGATATGATCATACGTGGATTGCCATATCATTAAAAATTGACGCTTAAACGATAAGATCAATTTTATCCGTTTCATGGAATTATCATTACATATGGCCATGACATATATACACAAATAAAAGGAGTACGAATTACCACTCAAAACTTTAGTTTTGAATATTTCTTCAAACATTTTGATGAATGGTAGTTACACCGATTAAAGCGGGTAATTTTGTCAATGCAATGCAGTTTTGAATGCACTCGTTTTCAAAGAACAAGTAATTTTTTTTTTTCAGATACTGCATAGGTAAAATAGAGCAAAACAGGTTATGCCATGCACCCCCACCCCCACCCCCCTAATACGAGCGCTCTAGGCAGTGACCTAGTTTGCTTATAGGATATAATAAATCTATGGTTATATAGTAATTAATTGCAGTACTTACATTCGCATTTATAGTCGATAGAAGTTGAAGAAACTTGAGAAAATTACGTAATTTAAGCAGATATTATTAACCAATAAATAGACCACAATTTGAATGAAGTAAGATAATAGTATTCTAATTATTAACAGTATATACTTTATTCAAACTCTTGTTTATTTGGTCAAAATAGCTGCTTAAGTTATGACATATTCTAAGGTAGTTACTTCTCTCGACTATAGATACGTTTGTTAGAGCCGTCAATGAATAAAATAATGTAGATTAAAGTTTTGTGCATAAAGTCTCTTAGCAGTAAATAACAGCTGGAATGTGTGAGGTATTATTGAATCAGTCTCTCGGCGCTGTATTATCAATAAAATTAGTAGCATATAAAAAACATGTAATTGTAATTTTCAAACTTTGGGAATAAATGATGTAATAAAATATGTTGTTATAATTTTGAATTACATTATGCACAGTAGTCCAAAGAAAGGTTCTCTATCTTTTTGCATAAATTATTATTATTTAATAAGGCATACTTTGGTTGTTCTCATTATATTGACGCGTGACGGTTTTGACATCCATTTTTTAATCATAATCATTCTAATATAAAGCATAAATATAAAAACTTCTTTACAACGCTCTATATTTGTTTTGGTGTCTCAGTTGTAACTTAACTGATTGATCGGTCCTTTCATGTCTCTGAATATTAAGCGCATTAAGATTTTGAAAAAAAAAACTATGCCACTGCAAAGATTATTAATATGCCAAAAGAGAACAATAATTCTACTTGGATATCCCAAAGTATATCAGGAATAAGAACCTTATTTTAAAAGAAGGGATTCCTAATTAATATTATTCGTGTTCAGAAACGAGTACCTGCGAAGTTTTTATTGTCGAAGCTATCAATATTCTTTATGTTATTTAATAATGATCAATTGTTTATCTATGTATATTATGGAGCTAATGACAATAAAAGAAGCATTTTCTAAACTATATTGGAGATTTTTAACAACAAACATGCAGACATTCATCTATAAAATTTTGCACACGTTAAGAAGCCTATACAGACCAACATGTATGAATGTAACACCATTCCAACGACATTCATTACATACATACACGTCGAATTGATAACCCCATTTTTTTAAAAGTCGGTTTAAAATTTTACCGTCTTATAAAGGTATTAAAAGAAGAATGTTCACTGTCCATACAAGCGTTGACCTGTCAAACTCTTTTTTTTTATGTTGATGTATAATAAATTAATAATGTTGATGATTTATCTACGTTTCAAATATATGTATAAATTTATTAAAATACTAATATAAATTACTTTTGCAATCAAGAAACTGAGAAAAAAATATAAAGATTTTGAGGTTATATTGCCCGTGAAAATATAAGAAATCAATATGATATTAGCTAAAACAAAAATAAATAAGAGCGAAAAGTCAGCAATTTTGATGTAAATTAAAAATCGATACCTAACACTATATTTTAATTAATGATATAAAGAATATTTTTCCTCGTTCTTACTCATGACTGAAGTTTGTTTACTTTAATTCGTCATCTACCCTACCATCACTTAAAAATTTTGCTGGTAGAACAATGTTGTTTTCGTGAAAAAGCGTAAAAGCCAAACTATAGACATAACATAGATACAACAGCCAAGAGTTCGTCGTCTCATCAAGCAGCTGCAGCAATATTCTACAATGCCTTCTGTCCCATCAATATTATTTTTAAATAAAATAAAACATAATATTGCCGTCGGCCAACATGCCGCGACTTACTCTTTCTCTCACTAAGGTAATTTTACCGCTTCCCCTAAGATTGTATTCTGTAATGACTAGATACTCCAGCTCCTGTGTTAGTGAATATCAGTTTTCCGTGACTGATGGGTCAGCCCAGCTGATGTAGCAGCTGATTTGCAACATGCACTTCCTTTTCTAACAACTCTTTCGACTAGTTGACTAATAAAAAATCGTCGAGATGTACCAGGATGCTCTTGCCTTCCTTCGAAGAAGATGAGCCAATTGATGATTGTGGCAAATCTTTTCGGTGCACATGACAATCCGAAGGGAAGGCTGGTGGTTTGGTACACTTCCCCCTGGTAAATCAGGCGCAGGAACCGGCGATCATAGCCAATTACGGGTACGTGAAAGTACACTGATGATAGATCTATTTTCATCATCCAATCTTGACTTTCGGGATTCGGAAATGAGAAATCAACCGAAATTTCCTTGGAATTATGTAATAATTTAAGCGTTTAAGATTGAAAATCGGTCTGTAGGAGCCATAGTTTTTCTTTCTAAAAATACTGTCAAAAAGAAACTCATACCCAACCGACTTATGCAGTTTTAAGAGAACTTGCGATAGCAAGGTCTCGATTGGTCATATCTGACGACTCGGGTGTCCTGGACCGCAGAAGATTGGATGTGTGTTGGGACAAGCACAGGCCTGGAGGTGAATAAAAGACTCTTCCCTAATATCATATTCAGGATAGCCTTCAGAGCCTGATGCTTCTGCCACTGCCGATCCGCTCGGAGACAGCCCCTGTAAAATAAACTGGAAGGTTCGATAGTCATTTGATTTCTCCTTATTATTGGTAAACCCTTCCTTTTGATTGACTTTTCAGATTTTTGCGAAATTAGCAGGTTTAACGGCTGTAATGAAAGGGCTTATTATTAACTCAGTCACACGATGTGCCTGCCTTTGGTTGCCTTTGAAGGCTTGTGCTTCACTTTGACTGTCTTGTACTCTGAACATAATATTCCAAAGCCGAGCTATCGAATATGAATTCTGAACTGGGCGGGATTCTTCGTAAATTGTCACGCATTTGTTAGGTATTCCCGCAAATATACGGTTTCGACGAGTCTCGATGCACTCCGCACGTTTGCCACAAATTATTTCATTATATCTTCACTAGTTTTATGAAATTTTGAATTGTCATTAAATAAATCGGATATTTTATCAAACACGTTAGAAGAATTAAGCTCAGTTTTGGGTGCGGTTAACGAACTCCTGTAGTTGTTGCTTGAGGCACTCGTGTAGAGAGCAATGTTTATTTTTATTATATTACTTCGTAAATAAATAAACTTATTTACGAAGTAGTATAATAAAAATATACGAAATACGAAGTACTTCGCATTCGTTTGACGAATGTGAGTTTTGGGGGATTTCTCGAGTAGATGGTGTGACACTTAATGCTGCCTTACGAAACAGTTTCGAAAAGTGAAAAACTAAGTAATTTCGGATTGATTTGAAACCAATGAAAGATCAATTGTTTTCAAACGTAGTATCTTCTTCTTGGTCTGTGGTAAATGGATATGCCTATAATAGTTAGCAGTCATCTGGCTGTCAATTTGAACAATTGCGTCATAGATCAATTGCCACGTAAAGGTTTAAATGCATTGCATTATAAGTTGGATATATATAGATCCCGGTTGAGATTTTTGAAAGAAATATATTTTATTTGTTCTTGCTATTACGAATAATTGTTTTTTTGCGCACAGCAGCGTATATTGGCATTATGAAAGAAAATCAGTCCGCACATTTATTTAAAATAACTAAAGAAAACCATTTTACGATATTTTCTTATTAAATATTTTGTCGTTATAGTTATTACCTTACTTTTTGTAGTCCATAACTTAGGGTTTATATCTATGAATAGAGACATAACGAAATTGATCACAAACTCCAACCCTACTGACATAGTGATACAAAGCCAACCACACGAATATGTAGATTTTGGGTAAATAATCAATCTGTCTCAAAGAGCAAACACATAAAGAAATAAACCGAAGAATAGCAAATGAGTGGAAAAAATACTGGTCACTATATACTCGGTGGAACAGAACGACCGACACTCCCGAGGTTCCTGGAGAGTACTATTACTATTGGAGAGTAAAAAAATTACAAGTCTAGGTTAAATAGTTTCGGAGATATTAAATCATAAATTTTTGAAAAAAAATGAGTGTTTTCAACCCTGAGTCAGCTGTTTTAGGGACGTACTAAGGAAAAGTTTTTAATCGGTCATTGACTTCTTCATTTCTAAAAACGAAATAAACTAGTTTGTGATTTATAAGACTGCTTTCATGCAAATTCTACTAGACAATCAATAAACAAGGCAGTCAAAATGCTTAAATCGATTTACAGACTAACAGCCGGTTTCTGATTTGAAAGAGGTAGAAAATTTCTACTGTTTATTCTCAATAACGTGTTTTTTTTTTAATTTCACAAGTCAAATAGTCCTAGTTTTATCAAACTGCTATCAACTGATCATTAAAAAACTAATATCGGAAACGAAAACTAAGTGATGTTAGTTTGAGACGTTTAACGTTAAATTCTCAATTAACCCGGCGTCATGGGGGCTGGGTCAAAATTACCCGCGCTTTCGGAGATCACCAATAATTTTGCAAAGACGCGCGCGACGTTGCCGCTCTTCTCAGTAGCTGGAGCTATTGAGTCCCTGTACACGTTAATTCCGCGAAATCAGTCGGGCGAGAGCCGCGTTGGAAGCTACAAGTGTCGTGACAAAAAAAAGGTAAATATGACCCATGCCTGTAGTCCGTGTAACTATTTTAAGCCATTTTGATGAATCACGGTTTAAGTGGTTTATTGTTGTTTTTGATGCTTTTTTTTTTGTTTTACTACATTGTTTTGTGGTTTTCACGTTTTTTATTTTGTCAGTACGTATTACGAATAATTATGGACACCGAAGAACGAGAAAGACGACGTATTATGGCGGTTCTAGAAGAATCTGACTCGGATGTTATGTCGTCTGATCAGGAGTCTGAAGAAAATGAAGACCATGTCAGTGAGCGTAGTCAATCTACCGATACCGAGCAAGACATTTCGGATAGTGACGACGTTCCATTGGCGACAATCAGACGAAGGGTACTATCTGAGGCAAATCTGCAGCAGGAGGATCATGCATCAACAAGTTCCTCGGATCGTGATTGTGAGTACAACCAGCAGTATTTTGGTAAAGATGGTACGGCTTGGTTTCGTAAGCCTCTTCGACAGAATGTTCGAACAAGAGCCGAAAATATAATTGACCAGTTGCCGGGGGTAGCTCCGGAAGCAAAGGCTGCTTTGTCTGAATTTGCATGCTGGAACCTATTTTTTACTGAGGAAATGTTGCAAAATATTCTGAAATGCACTAATGATCGCATCCGTCCTAAAATAGCATTGTGCAATAATTTGTCAAAATACACGCATGTAAAAGAATGCAATGTGGCAGAATTAAAAGCTTTTATTGGCCTTCTTTACCTTGCTGGCTTAAACCGCTCTGGTAGGCAAAACTTGAGTGACTTGTGGTCTACTGATGGCACTGGAGTAGAAATTTATGGACTAGTAATGTCTAAACAGCGTTTTCATTTCCTACAAAGCTGTTTAACGTTTGACGACCTTTCTACTCGCGACGAACGGAGACGACTTG